AAGGAGTTTACCATAAAATTGTGGTCACATCCACTTAGCCCTTAGTGCACTTGTTCATAATGATGTAAACTTTTAAGTATATGAGAGTTAGGGTTATATCGCGATTTCATGGATCACTGACCATGGAAATAAAGTGTGAACGGGCATTGATGTCTTATGAGCATTGATTCTTGTTTAGTTGTCTATTGAGACTAATTTTGTAAAGACATATGACAGTTTGTTTAAAGGGGCATTAGCTGTCAAATTCATGTTCATAGATTTGACTCAATTTTTCATATTTGATGTATAACATACTAAAACGTATATCCAACTTATAAAAATTCTAAAATAAACAATAAACAATGCATGGACTCGATAATAAGTATCAGCATTTCGTGTTTATTTTAGTTAAGACGCCATCTAATCAACCATCGAAATGACCTCCAAAGACTGCCGTCGGTCATCGGGTCATATTACCCGATATAAACATAAACATAAATATAGATAGATAGCGAGCCCGAGCACTTTTTGATTTCATGTTATAGGTTAAAAAAATATGTTAAACATCGTTTTTACCTTATTAAAAGAATTTTTTTGTATCGAATAAGTAAACGAAATGGGTCACCATTGTTTCACTTTCAATGTTGACATTCTTTTTCTTTTAATAGCTGAACACGTCTAGTATATGCGCAACCCATCTCCAGTTAAAGGTGTTAAATTGAAAGTCACATGCATACGGATTCTTATAGGGTTGAATAATGACTTGCAAGTCAATAATACATCAGCGGTGGGTTTTTTTGTTAGCTTATTTTTACACATTTGGGCCAAACTGACTGATTATAAAGACATTATTATTTCAAATTTCAGCTTTTATTTATACTCGAAACAAAAATAATCGTATTTCATTTTTTTTGTCTAAATCGTATACAGCTAATGCTCTTTTAGATATTTATATCGTTGAATAAAAACAGCAATTCAACTGCACAAACTTTGTTAGGTTAAAAGCAACAAACAATCAATAAAAAAACGCAAATGAAAGAAAGACAAGCCACAAAAAAACATTCAATGATGAAAATAAACAAAATTATCATATTAAAACAATGTAAAGCTAATGTTCCAAACGTTAGAAGGCATAACAACCAAAAGGGTCTAAATAGAACAGGCAAAAGTTTGGATCAACTTTGCCTCGAGAGAAAGACAACATTATTTTAAGAAAAATTAGTGATGAATAGACGACATTGATACCGAATAACTGTCTCCCGCATTGACAGGTGGAACAGTTCCAGTAAAAATGAAAAAAGTACGTTACAACTTTTTGTTCCATGCAGCACGTGACCCAAGAATAGATAATGAATTGTTAACAATTCCGCTATTATAGATGAAATAAGTAAAACCATTCAAGATTGAAAAATTAAGCAACAACACGTGGATATTCACAGGAAAATAAAAACAAATGAAATGATACAAAAATAGTAAAACAAAAACAGTAAGCCTTACTTGCATGACTGGATGAATGCCGTGATAAAAAAAATATCACATATAAATATATTTTCAAACGACGCGACTATCATTGTAGTTGGCAAAGAATACTTTAACTATTTATAATTGAAAATATACTGAATATATTAAATTGAAAACATCCCTATATTAATCAATGAAAAAAAAATAATTGTTTATAAAATGATGCTTCAACTTTGAACTATTATATTTTCAGCTGCAGTTTTGCAAAAGCCAAGTGTCTTGACGACTCTTTATCAAAACAACCATTAGATCAATGTAAAGGAAAGATTCCTAGTGGAAGGAAATGATCTCAAAAAAGGAAGTACAAGAAAAATGTGTATCGTGAACATCATTGCATAATATTTGTATTTGTTTTGTTCTTAGTTGTTTTATTTTGTTTCAAATAATTAAAGATTTCTCAAAATCGTTAAAAGGTTTAATTGAATTCGACATAAATAGTTAAGATCTATGAAAAAATAAAAAAAAATGACCAAAGAGTGAAGAAACCCTACACGGAAAACACAAAATGTACAATAACACACACACAAGCCTGAAGACGTCCGTGTTGTGTACTAGAAACTCTTACTTTAACGAGACATATATATCAACCAGACTTTCTCGGCAGTCATTAGCGATAGAAGTAATAAAAAACACACATGGTCGAAAGGGAGTATAACAGCACCTGGAATAATTGTCACTAAACAATCTTGAGTTGTTTTTACATTCTGATAAAATTACCAACATGAACTTCTTCAACTTCGTACTTTATTTGGCCGGCTAAGTATTTTTGTTTGAGCGTCACTTGTGAGTCTCTTGTGGACAAAACAGGCGTCTGGCGTACACAATTTAATCCTAGTATCTATGATGAGTTTATTAACTAGCAGTAAATTTAACTCTGAAAGTAAACATTGTTCTTTTGAACAAGATTAAAGAATATCCCAAGGAAGATTTCAGATCCAAATTTTCGGAAAAATGGAATGTCTATTATTTTCACTATTGTTGGAGTCTTTTCCTTGATAGGGATATTTATTTGCTTTTTCCTAAATAGATTTTTTTCATTTGATTGAAGGATATCACATATACAGTTATGTCTGCTAAATATCTTGACATGTACCTTTAAATGGAGTATGACGATCACGGCACAGGATATCTTTAATTTTCCTATTGTGAACTTTTCATTTCTATGTGGCGAAACTCTTATAGCAACTGTATATGGAGAGTGTATTGGACAATTGATTTCATACCCGAAGGCTTCCATTCCCTATCCGGACGTTCTAAATATTGACAATTGTAGTTTCCCGATGTTTAAATCGATTAGAAAGACCAGTCATGATAACAAACAAAAACTGAGGGAATCACACGAACATAAAAGGATCAAGACCTGGATTATATGCCTGCCCTTGCGGTCATAAATATTTCGAGCACGATTTTCCTACTCAGACTCAGAAATCAACCAATCGAAATACTGGATTTGGTGTTTCGAGCACAATTTTTGTACTCAGAGTACTGAGTAAAGTTTTATGACCGAGGGCCCTGGTATCTTTGATGAGTTTTTAGAAATCTGTATCACAGATTACCAGTAATATGTTCCACCTGACGTAACAACAATCTTGTTGGTTTCTCGTTTACGAATGCGATTTGTCATAGGATTTTTTGTCAGGAGCAACACAACGGGTGCAATAAGTGGATTAGGGACTTCTTACACTTCCGGTACAACATTGCTTGGTTGAATCGAATGTGTCTTTTAGTTATGGGTTAACGTGTCTATTTTTCAGTCGACTTATGGTTTTTAATTGTCCCTTGTTATTTTCTATCTTGTATTTCGTGTGTACAGAAGCGTCATATTAAATTTAAAGTGCACGTTTCCAAATATTAAAACTGTTTAATCAGATTATGGAATCATTAGTTGTCGAAATTAAATCAGATTCATTTTGAATTTTCTCCTTTATTCTTATGACTGAAAAGGCGCTTGACGCTTACGTTAATTAAATCAGATTATACTCTCTTCTATGGGTATTTTTCACATACCATTTTCCCTTTTGAATAAGCAATTTCTTGTATTTATTTTTTGCTCTGCTATGTATGTTTAAGATTGGAAATTTAGGTCCAGTGTACGACGTTGACAATATGGAGGGAACCAATAAAACTGTTCTCAATTGGTTCCCTTATGACCGTGTGTGATTTGTATTATATATATACGCAGTTAAATCAGGTTGAAGTGAAATCGTTATTCCAAATCAACTTAACGTAAAGAACACTATTAACAATTCTTGCTGAACAAATTATTCTTGTAACGACTAAGCTTCACGGCCAGAGAATATATTCAACAATTATAACCAAATATTTGTAATCCCTCAAAACAAAAGATTCTTTATAGACAAAGAAACCTGAGGAATGAAGAGACATTATACAAGGCCCGATGAAATTTCTGCCTATCGACAGGAAAATAACTTGTTATGAAGTTACACTAGTTTTGTCAGCAATCAACCTATTTAAAATAGTTTAAATAGGTGGAAAACGAAAAATATTCAGCAGAAGTGTTCATTAAAAATCAACAAAAAGCACTTTATTTCAATTTTTCAGTATTACAGAATACCGTTTCAATGAATGCTCGTAATTTTCAAAAGCATGTCGAAAGGATCTAATCTTCTTGAATCTAGGTGTTGAACAATCAATAAAGACTTTTTGTATTAGATTTTCGATGGTATTAAAAAATATAGTAATAGAAATAAGATTATCCAGGTCTTTAGAAATTGTGATCAAAGATTATTTGAACGTCTATAAAAATATGGAGATGTGGTATGACTGCCATTGAGACAACTATCCAACAAAGTTCAATAAAAGTGGATGTAAGCAATTATAGGCAACCGTACGGCATTCAGCAATGAGAAAAACCCATACCGTATAGTGGCTATAAAAGGCCCCGACATAAAAATATGAAACAATTCAATTGAGAAAACTAACGGCCTAATTTATAACAAAACAATTTACGAAAAACAAATATGACAGACGTGAACCAATGACAACCACTGAACTACATGCTCTTGACTTGGGACAGGTACATACAGAATGTGGCGGGGTTAAACAATGCTGGTTAATATCAAAGAAATCACTGCTCTTATCTATTCTGATATCCAAAACGGCCAATTAACAATTTTCTTAATCTTAAATATATGAACCCAGTTTATTTCATCAAAATAATGCTACTCTAAACATTTGCTAGCTTAGAATGAAAACACATTTAAAACATTAAATATGGAATTCACTATTGAAATTACTTTAGCTTTATATATTCGTTACTATAATTCATCATCTATACTTTTCATTTTTTTTCCGTTCGGTGAAACGTTACTTAAAACCAACACTTACGATTTGCATATATGAACTTTTATTAGGTATGTAGACCACAGGTTGAACTCTGAATTCCATGATTACGTAAGCGTGTTTGCTTTTTGAGGTGTTTTAAAGACAGATTCAAGGGTTGGTAAACATGACTTAAAAATTTGTTTAATCCTCTCATCACGTTTAAGTGATTCAGACAAAACGTTCAGATGATTTGGATTGTTTGAGAGTACCAGGATGTTATGGTTCCTTATGATTACATATTACATAACAGGTATGTAGATTATGTAGATAGTATATGAAATACGATCAATTGTAAGGTCAATTTATAAGGTTTTTATCGTTTTAATAGGCCATAGAAAGTATTTAGTTTTCAGCTTATAACTGTATCGATAAAGATTTCATAAAGTGGTACTAGTATACATTATTGAAAATGTACATATATAATACCCATTGGCCAAGGTTTTGTTTTATTGGTTGTTTTCAGAGCTCTCGATACAATAAAATTTTAAATTCCCAGTTTATAAGAAAGAAAAAATGAAACTGCAATAGAGGAAAAAATAACAATCGGAAGAGGTAAGATGTAGAACCAGGGCAAACACATTAGACCAAAGATAAGCAAGAGTCTGTTTAACAAAACGAAATACTACTAGCAGCATCAACCGTTTTAAATGTCATGGATGACCTCGTTTGTTTCGGAAGGGCTTAAATATTTTAGTGTTAAATACAGGGACCATTAAGTAGAATGCTGGACTAGTGAAGTAAATTGTTAATAGCAGAAGTGCAATATGTTGTGGAATAAAAAAAAAAAAAAAAATTATTTTAGTGTTTGAGAAACCTAAAGATATTACTTTAATCTTACACATGTTTTTTTTTCTAAGTTGATCTTATCTTGCTTGATTTTAACTATGATAATTTCAGCATGGTACAATAATTTTCGGAAATGGTATATTTAAAAACAATCATATTATTTAGACTCATCAATTGTGATTGAACATGTTTTAAACCTTGCCTTCATGGTAATTGAAGGTTGATCTACGTTCAATTGCACATCCATGCTTTAATACAAGCCATAATAACCTAAAATCATCAGTTGACGAACAATGGCTTCCATTGGCTAAAATACGGTTATAACTATTACCTCATCAATATTCCTTCAACCGTCAACGCCAATTTCCCTTTTGCTATATGACAATCTATTGGTCATTGGATGTCCTGCAAGATCGCAAGCCAAAGTCAATAAAGGTTATAACTACATGTGTAGTGTAGTTGTTTAAACATCACAACTGGAATGTATGGGGATAAACATCGATATGAAGGGTCATTCGGGTCACAATGCAACTTTTTACGCGTTAGCTGAAGAAATGCGTTGTAGTTTGTTCGCGCACCATAGAGCAACCGTTTAGTTCAGTTTATGTCGTGTTAGCCCCTTTTTACACACTAATCAATGTCAGCTTCTGTAAAAATATACGAACGAGACACATTACTTATATTTCTACGAGGAAAGTTGTTTTTTTCACTTTTTCTTCTCACGTGTTCATGATTTTATTTTAGATTTCACTTCATCTCAATCAGATCTCTGTTCCAAAGTACTTACGATAGATTGTGATGGTCAGTATGTGTCATCTAAAGATGAGTCTGTATGTGCGTCAGACTTTGTCACTTATAAAACTTGGTGAGTTTATATTTATTGACAAAAAAAAGTTTTATATCGTGTCGATCCTCATCATAATCACCAGTCCTGACGCCGCTAGGGACAGTAAAGGGAGACAATGCACCTGCTTAGATTCCCAACCCGTAATCTGATATTCGGTAGGGAAAACTTACAAGGACACGGAAGAAGTGTCGTTTAGGACAGGTAACATGTATAAGGGGAACTCACACACGATTAGAAATCTTAGCAAAATTTAAGTGACCCAGAGATGTATGTTGTCGAAAAATTTGGTAAGTTAGCAGAATTTCTCGAAATCGATTCAGTTGAACACAAGAGCGAAATATATATAGATTAATTTATTGTATATAGATTTTCTTTGAAAATGGTGTTTCATATTTCATCATTTTTCCACCATTATCATGCGTTTATACAAAGAATTGACAGTCATTCTTATGTTTTTCATCGTTTGAAATATTTTAAATTTTTGTCCGTTGGTTTGTGCGAATTTAAACTTTTACAATTTTCTAGTTTACAAACGAAGGTAGCCAATTAGAAGTCTCGACGGAAAGACAGATACATTAATGCAAACAGTTTGTACACTGATATCAGCCATATTGTTCAATTTGTTATTTATACAATGTGTTCTGATTATTTTATAGTTGTCATTTTGCACAGGCCAAATGTCGAGATGGACAAATAGTGATTATATATGACGGACCTTGCTCAAAAACAACAGATATGTCAAATGTAACTTTTGCTCGAACTTGTGGCACTTTTCGACCACCTGTAGAGATTACTACAACTAGCACAGCAACGTCCAGTATTAAAACAACATCAACTTTAGATAATGATCCATTTGATCAATTGTTTTGTTCTGGAATAAACAGTGGTGCTATAACATGTCCAGACACACTAGATCCTTACTGTGGGACTGATGGTAAATTCTATCTCAATAAGTAAGTACATGTAAAAATCAAGACAGATGGATAATTCTTACATGAGCTACAGTGCGGGTGCCACATTTGGAGCAGGACTTGCCTACCCTTCATCTGAGATCATCCCGGTTTTTGGTGGGGTTCGTGTTGCTCAGTCTTTAGTTTTCTATGTTGTGTTTTGTATACTGTTGTTTGTCTTTTGGTCCATTTCTTTTTTTGCCATGGTGTTGTCAGTTTGTTTTCGACTTATGAGTTTAAATGTCCCTTTGATATCTTTCGCCTGTCTTTGGCTTTCTGCAAGTTAGTTGTTTCTCGATTTACCTTTTAAACGGCAGTGATTTTTTTGTCTTTAAATATATAGAAAAATATTCATCAGTAATTTAAAACCAAAGAAATCATTTTCAGCGTGGTATATAGTAAAAACAAAGTAAAAAATATCAAAAGCAACTACATGTTGATGTATTTTGTTTATTAATGTCTTTCGGTTGTTGTAGCATTGTCATGATAACAATTACGAAGAGAAGGTTAAAAAACTGGAGCGTGTTTCTAATTTCACAATACACCATATCAATTAATGACGAAATAATGACCCGCTATGGTGTATATCTATGATGGAAAATTGTAAATTATTAAATACATCAAAAACTGACCAAAAACTGTTCAGATCTTCGCCTCCTAAACTATGTATATTTTGAATTACCTTGATATGACCGCTAAAATGATCAATTGTAAAAATATATCGAAACAGTTAACCACATATAGTTTCATTTTGGCATGACAAGAACTGTCCTTTAATAGAATGGGTTTGTTAAGCATTTCCTTCAGCAGAATAACTTCTAAAGATGAAACATCAAGAGAGACCTATGTTTAAGTCCACAAAAAATGTTTCATTTTTGTTTTACTCTTAGACTATTAAATCGATATAACACTGTTTAGTTTATTTTTTTTTTATTATTCTGACACTACAAAATGTAAGGTTGAGTATTCGAACTTTTAAAATCAAAACAGTAATTAACTACTGTTTGTACATCAAACAAACTCGATAGACCGCTGAGTCAATATTTGCATTACACTTAAATAGGAATCTAAGACTTACATCTGGAATCTGATTATAAGCTCCATCAGTTCACATTATCATAATAAAATCTTTACAACTGTAAGACTCTGATTAGAATTCCTACAAAATAATTATTTTTCTGTGTTTTAGGTGTTATTTCCAAACAGCCAGGTGTACAAATCCGAGTTTATCAATACAACCAATAGGATTGTGCAAAGGACCCACGCCTACGCCAGTAGGGTAGCAAATTATTGTCGCAAATTATGCTTAATACAGCTTTGATTAAAATCGGATATGTATATTATTCTACCAGTCGTTTATGAAGTGAAGCATACTGTTGGTAGCACAGACATCTGCGTTTGCATATGGGCGTCAATTAGAAAATAAATAAAGCTTCTGGGTATGATAAAAAACATACTGAGTAAAAAAGTTTAGCAATAATTATTTTTATTTCATCTTTCAAAAATAGATTATTCTTCTAAACATGACAATCAACAAATTATTATTTAAAAATAAACAAAAAACCACAAGGTGCATTTTTACTTGAATACAATCAATGTTAGCAATTCAATTCCATAACTTTCAAAATCTTTAATCTAATCTTTTTTAACTAAAATATATGTTGCTCAGTTTTTTACTTGGTGTATAAATAAAAGGAATTGTGTTGTTACGGTAATAAATCGCCTCATTTGACAAGTGGTGAATGTACATCTGCAGAATTTGCTGTTTTCAAGATTCTACTTTGAATTATGTTACAGTGAATTTGTATAATCAGGGATTATGTAGAATCCCTGATTTTTCAGGGATTATGTAGAATCACCAAAATCATTAGTGATTATATATAATCCCTGAAAATGACCAGTGATTTTACATAATCACTGAACATTTATATAATTATTCTACAAATTCCCTAGTATGATTTCAGGGATTATCAATAATTCAAAGATCCTGTGTTTGATAAAAATTAGATAAAGATAACTTGTCGTTTGTGTTTTCTTATTCCTTGAAAGTTTAAGTGAACAGTAAGTATTTAAATTGTTTAAAGCCTCCTACCATCTCTTATATTTCATATAGATTACACTCTTTACATCCTTATACATTAACATAAGATTGGGGCTGGTGGGCATGGATCTAAAAAATAACAAAACTTAAATATCTGACGATGATATGCAATCTATTTAATTTCAAGTTCATCATGGTTTACCAAGATCATTTATATGACAAAAAATGTTCAAACTGTAAATCCACAGTGCATTTTATTTGTAGTAAAACAAATGGCGAGGAAGGTTATGAAACCTCTGTGTGTATTTTGTGTTCAAATGAACAAGAAATTCAAACTGAGAGAACTGACGAACTAAATGTATAGAAAAATTCGTAAGGGTTCCGCGGAACCCAGTGTCTCGCCTACTTTTGCTGTTGTCTATGTTTTCAGTGTGATAGGAAAATGCACACAATAGATTAATTTAATAGTTACTGAAATGGTTTATGTATCTAAAAAATGTTTTAAAAACTTTAACTGCAGACTGAATGTAATGTTAGCTGGAAAAAAAAACTAAGTCCATTTATAAGTAATGTACGGATAAACAGGAAATAATTTGTTTTTAAATTTCTTTCTAGATACTAGCTTTTGATCATAAACAAGTTTCTGTCCAAGTTTGGTACAAATCCAGGATAGTTTAAGAAAGTTATTATTTTTTTTTAAACTTTAACCACAGAGTGAATGTAATGTTTGTTTTTTAAAATATTGTGCTTAATATTTTAATATTATATGCTTAATAATTTAGTATATTGTTCCTAACATTTTGATATGTTGTGCATAACATTTTAATGTATTCAAGGTTGTCATTTTAACATATTGTGCTTTACATTTTACAATCTATATGTTTATAATGATGTTTTAATATGATTTTAAAGAATGAATTACTTAACTTTTATCCATTTTCTATATAAATGAAACTAATTCTTCATTTCAGTTATTCTGTATAATCCCTGACATTTTTTCTAGTGATTATACATAATCCCTGAAAATTTTAGTGATTATATATAATCCCTAAACTAACCAGTGATTCTACATAATCCCTGAACATTTTAGGGATTCTACATAATCACTGATTATACAAATTCACTGTAACATATCCATATCTCTTAATTCTAACAATAGCGCTAAATGAAGATTTTAACCATTAACCTTATCATGACAAATGTAATCAATGATTCTAACAGGCAAACACGTCTAAATGGCTCGTTTTTTTTCTTTTTCTTTTAGTGTTGCTTGTGCGGGTGCACTCGACTCCAATCTTAATTGACTAGGATTGTCAGTTTTCCTACCGAAGGTCGGTGGTTTTCACCGGGAACTCCGGCTTCCTCCACCAATAAAAACTGGCCGCCACGAAATAGCCCAAAAGCGGTGCTTAAAATATAAAACACCAAAAATCAAATCAAATCAATCTTTTTAGTGTTTCGACCTTTAATACAGGAACTAACAGACATAAAATAACCGAAGACTGCTCTAAGTCACATTAAAGTATAAAAAATACAAGTATAAGTTATATATCAAATGGAAAAAACATATGAGAATTCCACTGACAAGGTTTCTTACTTGGGACAGGCAAATGAAAATGTTGCATTAGTAAACAAGTTGCTTTATATCTCAGTTATTCGAATAACAAACGATAAACCAAAAAAAAACACGCACAATACAAATAGCTAAGAAAAACCTATTTAACCCTATAATAATGCATCAATACAGGTACTACGTGATAAGGTATCAAAGAATATCTGCAATTACTGATAGCAAACCTACTGAAGAAAATCTTGACGGCCTTTACTCTTATATCGGCGGTTGTACTTCGAAGCATCATAGGAAATATTTCAAAACCCCATTAGCCGTATGATGTCTGCGCTTTTGTCAACACAACCCCAAAATCAGTCGATGGTACTGTAGTACTCTGTCTAACTAGTCACTACAGACGTCTGGATTTTTGTCCACTACCGCAACCCCAAAATCATTAGATGGTACTGTAGTACTCTGTGCAAGTAGTCACAGCAAACGTCCGGATTTTTGTCCACCACCACAACCCCTAAATCAGTAGATGTTGCTGTAGTTCTCTGTCTAACTAATCACTACAGACGTGCGGACTGTTGTCCACCACCACAACCCCAAAATCAGTAGATGGTACTGTAGTACTCTGTCTAACTAGTCATTACAGACGTCCGGAATTTGTCCAACACCACAACCCATAAATCAGTAGATGTTGCTGTAGTACTCTCTGACTAGTCACTACAGACGTCCGGACTTTTTCCACCACCACAAACCCAAAATCAGTAGGTGATACTGTAGTACTATATCGAACTAGTCATTATAGACGTCCGGACTTTTGTCCACCACCACAACCCATAAATCAGAAGATGTTACTCTAGTACTCTGTCTAACTAGTCACTACAGACGTCCATGATTTTTGTCCACCACCACAACCCCAAATCAGTAGATGGTACTGTAGTACTCTGTCTAACTAGTTACTACAGACGTCCAGGATTTTTGTCCACAACCACAACCCCCAAATCAGTAGCTGGTGCAGTAGTACTGTGTCTTTCTAGTCACTTTTCTTTTCTTATGTATCGTATCTATTAGGCGTATAAATATTGCATTTGTACTGACTATGGAACATGATTCAAATTGGGTTACTTAGTATTTCCAATCACCGAAAGTCCGGACGACTCTAATAACTAAGTATCTATTTTGTGTCTACTAGTAAAGTCCGTTACGGCATGGGTAACTATGTATTATCAATAATTACTCTCAAGCATGATACGAGCAAAAGAAGAAATTGATTTCCTCGGCAGCTGGATAAAAGTTGTAAAGGACAGTCGAACGTATGGACACCACCAACACTATATACCACCTGCTCCAAAAAGCGAGGGTACGATAAGTATCTACATTTGGAGTGTTGTTTGTGATTTCGTTGCTTTCTTGAGCGATATTATCCAACGCTAAAAACCACTGTGGTACACTCTTTTAATAGTAAAACACCTTTCAAACGATAGAAGATAGTTTGCAAACAAAAATAAATACATAAATAAGTAAATAAGGCAAACTTTCTAACTCACTCGATTTTTAACCTCAGGCTACATTTTTAAATACCTTTACTTCATGTCAATACAGAAGTTATTAAAAAAAATTAATTGTTAACCAGTTCTTATAATTAGTCTAGGTCAAAATTTAAACACATCTATTTAAATAGTGTGGGTACAATGACATCATACTGAATAACATATAAGTATAAGGAATTGCAGTTTCTACAGGGATTTTAAGAGACTTATCTGTGAAAGAATAATGGGCATGTATGTATACTTTAAATGGAAAAAAGGCTGCATGCTGTCATAGTTGTGATTGTCATTATCTTTGTCGTATTAATTATGTAAAGAAGTCCCCCTTTTCAGTAATTTTGATTTTCCGATTTTTTTTAATTTTACCTCTGATTTTACTTTATTGTAGTAATGGGGCAATGTATCGTGCACATCTGCTCTTTTTTTATATTTTCTTTCTTTCAGGCGTGTTTTGTCAGGTCATGCAATTGTTTACATTCGTTGTCAAGACATTGGACACTGTAGCTATGTACTAAACTTTTACAAATTAAAGAAACACTTTTTCTTCCACTTTATTTTAAGATGTCATTTTAACTGAGTTTAGACACTAAATTATTTTATTGTTCTTTTATGTATATTTATGTGTGTGTATTTTTTTATAAATGTCAATATATGTTTCAATTGTTCAATTTATAATCTGACCAGTACTTTGGACAATACATATCTTGGGAATTTCCCTTCCAAATTTGGTTGTCGGTAAGCTAACAGTTTTATTCATTCTTTTTTTTATATTACAACAAAACGATTTAACCTTTAGTTAGTTTATATACACATACGTATTGCAGATCAAGAATTGTAATTAACAAAGTATCTATAAAGCGTGTACACTTATTGGTAAAACTGTTTTGATAATAGATTGAGGTTTAAATTGATTTTTTCTATAAACTGTTTACAGAATAATCCATTTAAACCTATAAATAAATGTTTTTTCATTGTGGCTTCCCTTTTTCTACATTCAAGATATTTGATCCATATGAAAATAAAATCGCCGAGTTGGGGACAGTGTAATTTGACAAGCCAAACGGGTGCTGTAAAAGGGGCATTTAGCTGTAAAATTCATGTTCACCGATATTTCATTTATTACATACTAAAGCGAAAATACATATTACATAAAGTATAAAAAAAAACAATTAACTATGCATGGGCTCGTTATATAGTATCAGCATTTCGTGTGTATTTTAGACCAGACGCCATCTAATAAATATAACAATCATTATGACATCTGAAGAATTCCGATGGTCTATGACCCGATGTAATAAATACAAATAAGATAAGCACGTGCCATCGTATAATGAGGATTTTTCTAGGTCTGTTTGATTTCATGTTTGATTAAAAATCTATGTCAATCATCGTTTTAACTTGAAAGTAGTAACAATCACTGTAAGTATAGTATCAGGCTGATATCGTGTATTTTCAAGTGAATCAGTCCACTTTTTTCGAGCGTGGATAAGGTTTTTTTTCGAGTGATATTACATGCGATCAGACCGATTTATTGCTATTTCGCAAGTATAATGGTTTTATTCATGACTGTTCGTCTTATTCTGAATACTATATAATTTTAAGCACAAATTTTGCACAATTTATTCAGCGTCTTACTTTGTTCGTGTTTTTTTCGAGAGCAACATTTAAAATGTCAAATTTTTTTAACAAACGTTCCGAGTTTTTCAAAGATATTGTGAATAAGAAAAAAGGGATTCTTTGCATTTAAAACTGATTTTTTTCTAGTTTGTAACTGTAGTTTAGTGAAGAAAAATATTATATATTCCCAATAAGACACAAAAACATATTACAATGTTGATCAAATTGGACTATTTACGATTTAATGCTAATTTTCTGTACTGAAAACATTTTTTCAATAACCTACTGTAGCAATATAATATTACGATATAAAAGAAATCACTGGGTCCTTTTTTAAAACAGTCTTTAGAACTAAGTACAGAGGACTCATAATCTTTTCAATTTCATTTCATGCTACCTTTGTTTTTACAGTCAATGATATTTTATGATTAATATATATTTCTGTGGCGAACTCCTGAGTTTTAAAAATATGGATAAAAAAAAAAACAAGGATTTACCTTCATCCGGATCGCTCAAAGCCGGAAATGTAAAATGTATAAGAACCTACACAGTCGAAGAGCTATATGACCTAAATGTACCTAAACAATAGCCAAATCCATCTAAGGTTCAACTTTGCAATTTTTTGAAATTTATAAACGGAAAGTTTTGGATGATTAATTGTTGGTTGCTTAATTCCAGTGGCAAATATGGCATGCATGTTCAGGACGGGAACAAGTTAATAATAAATACAATAGGTAGGTCCTGTAATAGAGGCCGTTTGGATGAAAGTCGGGAAATTTAAACTACCTCTGGAAAATGAGTAAATATTGGATAGGGACAGAAATTTTGCCTTGCAACAGACCACTTATGGACTCCTGAAAGATTTGTTGCAATGCTTCTTAACCTGTAGAGAACTGGCACTCTCTCTACACGTCCCATTCTGACCCGACGTGGTTGTGTACTTGTACATCTCGCACAGCTAAACGGACGCCCCACTTTGGTAATGCTTTTACTGTCGGCTGAAAGAGGACCTTAGTGACCATATTTCTATTACCCAGTCCCCCTTAGAGGTAAACAATTTTAGAAAGGTTTGTTATAAATCATGTCAGTACTGACTACTGAGCTGATGATAACCTCGGGGAGTTATCCTATATATTTAATAAACAATGAAATAAATAATCTAAAAGCTTTAATACGATCCTTAAGAAATAATTAAAAAAAAAAAACCCAAACTAAATGGATATACAATATGCGTACACATCACAAAGATAAACTGTCAATTTTAATTCTTTTAATTTCCGATGGAAAGGAAGCTATGCTGGTGCTTTCTTTCAGTGTGACCAAGCATAACATACGCTTGATCAGACTCCTCATCACAGTAGGAGCGTTTGAACATTGTACTTGTTTTGCATTTCTAGAACGATAAAACATATGTTCATCAAGACAAATAGTAAATGAAACATTTAGGATTTATTTTCTCTTAAAAAACACACATTTACCCGCTTTACACAACAATATGTTCATACGTCTCAATTCAACATGTATGTGCTCACATACGGAATGTTAACATCACGAAATATATGTATTAACTGTATGAAATCTATATCCGTTCACTTACACGAAGATTGTTCACATCACGTAGATTTACTGTATGGAATCGACATGAGTATACGTATGTCTGAATCGATACAACGTGCTTACCCTGACGCAGGCATGTTTACATGGGTGTGGACATGTTGGATAACCATGCTGGATCGATCCAAACATACGTAAATCTGGTAAATCTGTGTGGGTTGAATACAATGAACGTGCATGGTGTGGACAGTCTTTATTTGGGTACAGACATGTTTGGTCTATCCAAATATACGTATGCTGGTGTCCATGTGAAATGTACGTGTTAATACAGCTTTATCAAATTGGGTTAATGCATTGGTTTTGTACTTTGAAAAGTACTTTATTTAAACATTTTCATTGTTTTTAAAACGTAAATGCACGAACATTTTACTTTTTTAGCCATAGGAATTTTTTTTTTTTTCACTCGATAAAACATGGACGCACTCGAAAAAAAAAAACACGGACTGCTCTCAAAAAAACACGGACATATAAAAATGAATTTACTCTCCAATATGTCCTTTTCAATGCAATACCAATAATGTTTGTAAAAGTGTCTGTTTATCTTTAGAAGTATATATTGATTCCATGTATGCATTTCCTTCGACATTTGCATTGGTATGTGTATAAAAATGGCTTTACTCTATATTTTGGAATAAAGCATTGTAAGACTAGACTTAAACGTTTTTTAAAACAAAATAATGTAGGATTGATAATATCTTTTTATCACAAATACTTATTAACCTTGTATGGTTTTTTTATGTTAGGTTCTATCGTCTGTTTGTTTACTTTTTTTATTATATTCACTAAAAAAAAACGTAGTCACACACGAAAAAAAAACGATCAAATCACTCAAAAACACACGATCCTAGCCGGACACTATACCTACTGTGACAATGGTTTGTTGTGGGTTGAATCAGTCAACGAAATGGTTCTTTCCGGTAGCTCTCTTGTTTCACTTTACACTGTTGACATACTTTTCCCTTTATCATATATAATAATAATAACAACTAAACATGCTTAGCACATACGTAACCTATCTCCATCTAAGGGTTAAATTAAAGGTCACTTTATTAAGGATTCAAATGAGATTGAATTATTGACTGGCAAGACAACAACCCATCGGCGATGTTTTAGCGCTTATTTTGACATAATTAAACCAAACTGACTGCTAATTGCGAAATAATATTTATAAATTCCGCTTTTCTAAATCGTAGCTTATGCCCCTTTTAAAATAACAACAATCATATGTAAGTTTTGCCAAGACCTCCCACTCAGGAGAATGCACGCTACCACAAGAGCTAGCCTGTAAGCCCAGTCAGTATGTTAACTTTTCAGGATGTCTTTTAGCAGACCGTTCAAAATCCGAGTCAGCTTGTCGGATAATTTACAATGCAGAGTACAGCTATAAATCTCAGCGACAGTTAGACTTAAAAAAAAAGTTATGAAATTGTTGAAAACTAGCAAATTTTTAAAACTAGGACACTGGTGTGTAATCGATATGTTATTATTATTATATATATATGTTTAATCGATTTTGTGACAATAGTGAGATTGTTATTCAGATCACGGTGTGATAAGGAAAGATTACATAAACTTTAAGGTTATTTTCTGCTCTTTGGTCGGGTTGTTGTTTCTTTGACACATTCCCGTTTCCATTCTCTATACTAATCATAGGGCAATAAGTCAATGTTGCCTTTAGATGAAACATGTCTAGTAACTCCATGATAGAGGAGAGAAATAGTGTTATCAAGGAGGATTATTGTCCAGTTTTGATACGTTACACAGTGGTCTAAATGCACATTTTCCTATTTGAAAATACTAGTAAACACAATTCGGCAATGTTAGAAATAACAAATAAAATATATTAAAAGGTAGTATAAAAATTACCAAATTATTTGATAAGAAAACACTTCCAGGCGCATTTATTGAATTGAACTAAGATCTAAGTAATGTATAGTACTTTTTTCACGGTTCCGTTGGTAACCTAAAAATTACGAAGTAAAATACTTAAGTTATCATGATCACATCATGGATCGACGTGAAATATTGATAAACATTGTTATCAGGTCTTCAGTCCACATCTATTCAATGGTATGGAATACTGGACCAATACATTCTGAAATGTAATGATGTTATAGGTAAACAAAACAAGAAATTGCGCGCATTGTCGTGCTCAGCATACCCCTCTCTTAATTCAAAGTATCGGCAAGCAGGAAATAAGTGTCTAACAGATCCGATAAGTGCACGCACGTTACATCGCTATCAATCTGCTGACCATATATGAAGTCATTTCTGCGAAAAGTGTGACGGAAGTATTTGATGAGCGAACGGACAGACCTGGTGAATGCAGCATAGCTGAGTGGGGTATAAAAAGAAACCTACATGCATCAATCCATCAGGTCACAAACATATTTTCCCCCTTCTCTTTACTCTTGTAGAAGTGTAATTCCTCTTGGGCGGGAGGTCGTTGCTTAGATCTCCGACAGGTACAAACCAACGAATTTGTATTTAATTGTGGTTCCTTCTCTGCTTAGAACGCAGTCAAAATTAAACATCAAGTAGGGTGATATTTTGTCTTTAAGTAATTTTTTACTTTTAAATGAGCAACATAGTCAGATTTTAAAAACAAATCTTTGTATATTCATATAACATTTGCATGATGCATAATTACTCTGGATGACATCCACTCATCAATCATCAGCTATTAAGAGACTGTTGTTGAATTTTTAAATAGTTTTTTGTCGAGCCTGCGACTTTTGTCGCAGAAAGCTCGACATAGGGATAATGATCCGGCGGCGGCAGCGGGGGCGGCGGCGTTAACTAACTTCTTAAAAGCTTAATATTTCAGAAGGTAGAAGACCTGGATGCTTCATACTTTGTATATTATAGATGCCTCATGATATGAAGTTTCCGTCTGTCATATGTCCATTGTCCTTGACCTCATTTTCATGGTTCAGTGATTACTTGAAAAAAAAGTTAAGATTTTTTGTAATGTGAATTTCTCTCTTAATATGAGTAATAGGATAACTATATTTGGTATGTGCGTACCTTGCAATGTCCTCATGTCTGTCAGACAGTTTTCACTTGACCTCGACCTCATTTCATGGATCAGTGAACAAGGTTAAATTTTCGTGGTCAAGTCCATATCTGATATACTATAAGCAATAGGTCTACACTATTTGGTGCATGTAATGATTGTAAGGTGTACATGTCCAACTGGCAGGTGTCATCTGACCTTGACCTCATATTCATGGTTCAGTGGTAATAGTTTAGTTTTTGTGTTTTGGGCTGTTTTTCTAATACTGTATGCAATAGGTCAACTATATTTGTTGTATGGAAATATTTTAAGATGTGCATGTCAGTCTGGCAGGTTTTATTTGACCTTGACCTCGTTTTCCCTGTTCATTGCTCAATGTTTAGTTTTTGTGTTTTGGTCTGTTTTTCTTATACTGTATGCAGTAGGTCAACTATATTTGGTGTATGGAAATATTTTACGATGTACATGTCAGTCTGGCAGGTTTTATTTGACCGTGACCTTATTTTCACAGTTCATTGGTCAATGTTAAGCTTTCGTGTTTTGGTCTGTTTTTCTAATACTGTATACAATAGGTCAACTATATTTGATGTATGGAAATATTTTACGATGTACATGGCAGGTTTTTTTTTTACCTTCACCTCATTTTCATGGTTCATTGGTCAATGTTCAGTTTTCCTGGTTAATTTTGTTTCTTAGATACCATAAGTAATAGGTCAACTATATTCTGTGTATGGAATGATTGTATTAAAGGTGTACATGTATTTCCGCCTTAGTTTATCTGACCTTGACCTCATTTTCTTGGATCATAAATGTTAATGTGATACTTGTAGTAAAACTTTATATGTAGGACTATCAACAGAAAATCATCGGTCAGTATAGTTGGCGAGACATTTCAGCGTGTGCACTCTTGTCTTTTTAATTAATAAATAGTTTATTTTCTTTTTCATTAGGGAAAAATGTGACTGTGTATAGGTCTATTCCAAGACTACGAAAATAATTGAGCGGAAAACAATAAAAACTTTACAGAAATAGCATGGGTTCCGGTGGAAGTAGAAAAGTAAGTACACACATCCATTCATGTGTAAAACTACCAAGAACAAGAGTTGCCGTTTTTTTTTTTCTAAAATCATGAAAATTTAATAAAAATTAATTATTTCGAAAGAATTGTTACACAAATTGAAAAATCGTTTTGTAAAGAAGATATGCCAAATCGTTTTACAAAAATCCGCATTATCCAATTCGCTTTAGAAATACGTTTTAATTCGCTTTAATTCGAATTAAACTATCATGGTGTGGACACTTTCTAAATAGTAATTCGGGTTTCAGGTAAGTAACATGTTTGACCAAGTTTGTAGATAATTTCTGTACCAACGTTCAACGTTCGATGTTTCTAAGTGGTCATCTATAATTTGTAAATATATAATTACTTCTGAACCTTTTGTTCCATTCTCATATATGATATTTAGAATTTAACGAAACGTGATAAGATAACATATGTATTTAGCAATACTCATTATAAGAATTTGTAAAATATTTCATTTTCGAGCTTGATGAAACTTCTTTTATTTGAAACAAATCAACCTTACATGCCAATCTGGTCATGACTTTTTATAGATGGTCAAATTTCATAATACATTAAAGCTGTTCGTTCCGCATATAATCACAAAATGCTGATCTTATTACTTCATCTATCAAGGTATTTTTACATATTATAGTATATGTAGTAAATTTTTATTTCGACTAATATTGTCTTACAACAGTGAAATCAATTGCTTTTTATATTGCTGGTGAGTGTTTAGTTTTATGTGTAGCTTGTTGTGTAATGTATTTTCATGGTTCACCACAGGATATTTAAGGGTGGTATTCCTCCGAATTTAAGCACCACCCTTGGATTTCAAGTATCACTCTTGATTTTCTGGCAGAATAAATTTGGAGTTTTCAAATTATGTGAGATACAAGCTTATCTCATATAATCTCAAAACTCCAGGTTTATTTGTTAGGAAATTTAGAGTGATGCTTGAAATCCAAAGGTGGTACTATTTTTATTAAGTACAATCTTGAAAGGCGATATTTTTATTTTAAATGTTATAAAATTACGATAGAATGCATTCATTTGTATACATACATTTATATGCATTCAAGAGCTTTGCAAAAAAGTAATGCATAATGCGTTTTTCAAGGGTTAGAATAATCATTTTATTTGCCTGATTGAAAATTTTTCTTTGGTTATCCCTGCGTGTAAAGAAACATCAAATCAATTTAATGTTTTAGGCTACACCAACCGTTTTAAAGGGATATAGACGAGAGATAAGCAATGTATCGTTGATGAAAGTAAGACAGAAAAAGGTTGTAAGGATCGATGAAGGTGGAGCAGAGACAACATCTAATACAACGTCAACCAACGCCAAAGTAATTGTGTCTTGTACTAGCAAGTTGGAAAATAATCTCTCAAATAATTCGGAGGAGAAAACTGAAACTGAAGATATGGAAGCTTTAAAAAACGTAGTGAAGATGGAAGAATGGAAAACAAAGACGGAAGAGGAAACAAAGACGGTACATGATTCAGGTACAGTAATAGAAAAAGTGAACTTTGATATCTTTTCATTTGCTTTTCTTATCACTTGTTGTCCGTCGTCCGTAGTCGTCGTCGTCGTCATTAACTTTTACAAAAATCTCCTCTAAAACTACTGGGTCAAATTTGTATCTATTTTTAAAAAAGTGTCCGATGACCGCGCTTGCCAACCAACATATCAGACATGACTGAAAATAGAACATAGGGGTAAAATGCAAGTTTTTTTATTGTCTTAAAAAATGTTATAGATAAAGAAAATCTCACCAGGGAGCAACGATGTTCAGAATGATAAGAATTACTTATAGTTCTTTAACTGTCAGACAACTTCTATTGGTGTTGTTGCCCTTAAATGACGAATTCGCACCAGTCTTACGATATGAAAAAAATGTATAAATATTCCTATCGCGCCAATTGCTATTTTTTGAGGAATATCATAATATCATGATAATACATTGAAATATGAAATAAACAGGATCTATTATCGTACAAAGAAGAGTGGAGAAATAAGGTGTGTACTACTATCGCATACGAGTAGTACATTAGTGTGCTACATGTGTAGATTTCTATCATATCTGCTCGATATCAACCCACGGAAGTTAGAGCGCCAATTACTTCGAATGGCTTGTAAAACAATGACACTATAAATGGTATCTGAGAGGCAACCAACGATCATTTGCTTGATGTTGTACAGTTGTAATGAACTGGGTTGTGTAAAGTATTCTCAACAGTTAGATACTGTACACACACTGCCTTGATCAAATTATGCAGTACAAAAACAACAGCCATAAGAAACAAACACAATTTAGAAAAAAGTATTCGTGGTTGAAAAAAAACTAAAATTATTAGCTTTCAAGCAAGTAGAAACTGCCGGTCCTTAAATTGAGTGGAGACTCGTTGTTTAATAAAACAAAATGAAATTAAAAAAAGTCGTATATTATATAGTAATATAATATTTAATTTTGTGCGCAAATGATACTAGATATTTTGCAAACTAGTCACACAAACGTAGCGTTGGCGCAAATGAGTTGCGGGGCTAAAGGACACATTTTTTGTGCAATATAGGATTTCTTTCATTTTTACTACTGCTAATCAATAGTCGCCCCTTAAATTGTCTGAATATAGAAAAAAGTTTAATGGATTTTAGTGAGAATGTCTTTTTTACAATTTATAATAAAATGCAGATCAAATTAAATATTTACTCTAATCGCATTTAATGATTTACAGTTATGTTCTTAACGAGTCTAGGAACGGTCAACAAATAGTTTCGAGATGTTAACTTACTTTGATATGAGCTAGGATCTTATAATGTATAAGTCATATGAAATAGGTTTCTTGAAATTATTGAACCAATTCATGTATATATTCAAGAATTGAATGCTTCTTTTTGTAATTTTATCGGGGTGTAAAAGCGTAGACCGAAGCAAATTTTGTATGTCTCGCGGATTTGCTTCATTCTTAAAATTTGCGCACGATCAACGTTTGTACACCCCTATAAAGTTATAAAAAGAAGCATTCAATTCTAATAACTACATTTTGTATGCTACAACCATGAAATTAAGAGTTATATCAAGCGTTTCGTTTCTATTCGTTCTTTTAACATGCCACAGATGGCACGTGCAATCATCTTGCTTTTGTATTTTATACGGAAATAAAATTTGATATTAGAGTGCCTCGCGTTAGCCAATCAAAATTACGGATTTTAATGAAACTTACGTTTTCTTTCTTTCAGTTTCTAGCGATCCTTCGGAAGTAATTGAAGGTCATTCGCATGTAATGCAATTATACTAACCTCAGTCCGCTATGCACGAATTTTAACATTGATTACGAATCCATAACATTTAATCGACAAAAAGCATATTTCATTCAGTGAAAGCATTCCCCTCGATGCGTGTTTTATTGTCGAGGTTTACCGAACGTGAACTTCATAAAAATCAACACAGAATCATGGAGCACGTCGAAAATAAGTGAGATGATAGTCATACAAAAGAGCGATTTCTATTTTTATGATATATTTTCCTTGCATTTCTATTTGTTTATTGAACTTGTCATTAAAATTGTTAAATGTTTCGGTGTATTAATTTTTTTTTCTTTTAGAATCAAGTAACATTATCAAATTCCACGTTTGTTTACCTTTTCGTCGCGATTTTTTCCTCGCACTTGCGCTGTGCGGTTGCCAAAGTACTAACACAACGATCGGTCTCGTGCGTAAGGTCACTGCATACGGAAAGCTATTAATGACGGGAGACAATAATTCAGTAGCAGTATATTTCTGAAGTATTGATAAGGTAACGGATTTTTTTTTAAAAGAAAGTCCATGTACACGTGTTTTATAGAAAACTTAACCATTCATTATATAAAACATATTCCCTTTTTTTTAATTTGAAGTTTCATATGACTTTAAATCCACGATAGGAATATTTATCCATTTTTTTTTCATATCGTAAGACTGGTGCGATCTCCATTTGATATGTTCCATTCTTAAGGCTTTACCTGAAATTAATTTGTATTAAAAAAGGGAACCCAAGGAATTCAAATAGTTTTAAAACAATGACAATTTAGTAAACGCATATTGTTGTAGAAAATAATTCTTTTTTCCGTTTTTCAGATTTCATTAAAACAATATATTGTTCTACCACGTCAGAGTACCCGTTACACAATTTTGGAAAGATTGATTACAATGTAAATGCATATCATGGAGGACGTACTGCAATGCACTTCGTCTCGACTACGTCTATCTATTACAATACGGAATTGTTTTTGGTACGATCCGGATATGATGGTAATCACGTACAATATGAGCTCCTTTCAAAAATTGTCCCAAGTCCTTCAGTATTTTATGAAGATCAAACGAATAGCTATAAGGTAGACGAAGAAGGAATGCTTATTGCTGATTGTTACCATGGCAATAATCACATCATGCTGTTAACAAACGACAGTAAATATGGCAATCTAAGGAACGGGGTGTGTGTAGAAATACAGGAGAATAACTCATCAGTAGAGTTTCCTTTGAATGTCAATGGAGGGAGAGATGAACGTGGAAGTGGAATTACATTGATACTTTGTAGTGGCGGAAAAGGAGACGAATCCATAAATACGCTGTATTTAATTCTCTCTGAGACAGAAGGTAACAAATTCCACAGTAAAGCAATTTCTGGAGAGGATAAATACGAATTTTCTGTTAATGAAGATGGCTGTCTTTGTGTAAGTGGACCAGCCGGAAGTCGATTTGGTTTATGGCATAACAGAGATAATTTAACAGCAACACCAACGTTAACGTCACATACTTTTGTCAGTCAGACGCAGTGCTTGGATGGAAACGAAGCCTTACCACTAGTGGAAAACGTCACAGAACATGCTGCAATAGTAGTCCTATGCTCAAACAGTAACGGAATGGAAGATTCTACGGTTTCCAGTGTTTATCATTTAGTGATAAAAGATGGAAATCTTGTTGCGACAAATGAAATATCTGGTTGTCATGGTACCAATTACAAAAAATCGGACTTATGGAATTTCGAAGTTGTTGGTGGTTGTTTGCTGGCTTCTGGACCTACTGGACCTTGTAGATATGGGGTTTTATCCAATATAATAGCATCTAAGGAAGAATTACAGAAATCATGCAAACAAGATTTCTGTCTAGCAACAGGCGAATCAACAAAAACAAAGGGGGGTATAGAAGTGACCTTAGAAGAAATAAAAGGGCATGTCAACAAACCTTCAGAGATTTGTGTAATGTTAGACCATAAAATAATTCAACTGATTCCCATTGATGAACTTTCACAGCAAAATGGATCGTATTCATTCAAGTATTTATGGAAAAAAGATGAGGGAGATGTAGGGCACTACCTGGTACGAGTATTTGCTATCAGGAAACATGTCAGAAGTATGTATGATTACAACTCAATTTATCAAAATGTACGTTTGAGAATACTGAAAGTATCTGTGCGTAAGCTACGCCTTTCATCAACTCATTTTTGTTTCAATTCTGTCTTCGATTTTGAATTCTTTCCTTGTCTTTGTCTATAAAGAAAGATAACTTTCGAAATTGACTTATGTAAGAGTGGAATGCATAAGTGGTTAAAATAAAAATAAAGGATATTACGGTTCTTGAAATATTGTCAATTTAATATTCAAAAGGACCGAAAAGTCACTAGTGTCGGTACTTAAACTCAATAGAACAATATAAAGATAAATTTTGACACGTTGTCTCCTATCTCTTTAGTATTACACATTTTATAAAGAGGTTCTCTAGATTTACACGTGCTGCATAGTTTTCACATTAAGAAACACATTGAAACTTTAGTATTAAACATTTTATAAATAGGTTCAATAAATATCCACGTGCTATACAGTTTTCACTTTAAGACTTTCATATATGAATGAGGCCGGACAAACAATACCCTTCGAGATATTAACTACACATACACATTTTGCGATTATTTTTTTTAAGGTGGTGAGGATATTTACATAGAACTAACAGATTCTCCACGTTCTCTGATTAGACAGAAACCGGGAGTTATTTACGCAGTGAACGTCGCAAGCCCAGTTTACCAAGACATGAATGACATTGTATATTCAAGTGAATTTTCATTGTTTGCCAATTTCGACCCGACTTTTGAAATAGGTGAGAAATCATGATCCACTTATACTTTTCAGAATGTATTTTATTGATGACTAATGGTTATGAATATGATCAGCATGTACTTAAATATACGCGAAATTTGATTATTGTTTAATGGAATTTGCCGTCACTTATGCATATTTTTTCAGGTCTGGGTAACTGCCTGATACTGTACGTACTCGATCGGTATATAAATGGTTATGAATAAGAGATAATAAGTTAAAAATCTTAAGCATCATCGGCAAAATGCTGTGAAAAGACTCGGAGATATATTAAAAGACATCATGCTAAGCCTATGTCAAATTGTCTATTTAAAAATGCATGACCAATGGCAAATAAATCTTTACACACTGTGCCTATGAGAATTTAGGAGGCGTTATAATCAGTACATGTATTAAGATTTACAAGCAAGAGTTTGTGTATATTACCTATGAACAACAGACACTAACAAGAGAATATAAACAATGCATGCTACGGACCATGATATAGATAAGACAAATTAAAATAAGTATCAAAGGTATAAGGTAATTTTCATATTAAAAAAAAACATATCTAAATAACTATTTGTTTGTCGTATTTTCCTCTTTTTTTGATACATTATACATTATTCGATCTACCTTATTTTACCAGGTACCCAATGGAAAGCTGCAGGGTTGCCTAAGCATATGGCAAATCTTCCTGCTTCTCTATTAAAGACAAATGACGGGTTTCTATACACTAGAGCAAGAAGAGCTGAACAATATAATGAGTTTGACCACAGGTTTACTTACAAGGTATTATAATAAAACATACAAGAAATTTTTGACCACACAGTTTGTACGATATAAGATGCACTGAATGTATGGCATGTATGTGTTTACTTACAATATGTGTATAATAAAACAAAGAGGAATTTTACAACATGTTCACTTACAAGATGTGTATAAATAAATAAAGAGGAATTTGACAACAGGTTTACCAAAATACCTGTACCAAGTCAGGAATATGACAGTTGTTATCCATTCGTTTGATGTGTTTGAGCTTTTGATTTTGCCATTTGCTTAGGGACTTTTCGTTTAGAATTTTCCTCGAAGTTCTGTATTTTTGCTATCTTATTTTTTACAAGATTTGTATAATAAAACAAAGAGGACTTTGACCACAGATTAACTGACAATGTTTGTATAATAAACAAACAGGGATCTGACCGCAGGTTTACTTACAAGATTTGTTTAATAAAACAAAAAAGAAGATTTGACCACAGGTTTACTTACAAGCCTTTCAGTGTATGTTTACTTGTTTTGTTAATATTTCTTTTTGATCGAGTTAAGCCATTTCAATTGATATTTTATAGTGTGTCTTTCTATGGTGTAATGTTATACCACTGTTTCAGGTTAGGGTGAAGGTTGGCGCCTGTTAAAACGTTTAAACCCGCTGCATTTGTTTGCACCTGTTGTTCAGTGGTTGTAGTTTGTTGATGTGGTTCATAAGTGTTTCTCGTTTCTCGTTTTTTATATAGATTAGACCGATGGTTTTCCTTTTTGAATGGTTTTACACTAGTCATTTTTGGGGCCCTTTATAGCTTGATGTTCGGTGTGAGCCTAAACTCCGTGTTGAAGGCTGTACTTTGACCTATAATGGTTTACGTTTTACAAATTGTGACCTGGATGGAGAGTTGTCTCATTGGCACTCATACCACATCTTCTTATATCTATCTTCTTGTATTGTATGAAAAAATGGATTTGACCAGAGGTTTACTTACAAGATTTGTATAATAAAACGAAGAGGTATTTTACCAGATGGTGGTTTTCTTACAAGATTTGTATAATAAAACAAAAAGGACATTGACCACAGGTTTACTCACAAGTTTTGCATATGTAAACAAGAGGTATTTGAACACAGATTTGCTTACAATGTGTGTATAATAACAAAGAGGGATTTTAGCACATAATATCCATATTCTGGTACAAATGATTTCAAAAGTATATTTTTTTTGGTTAAACCTCCCTTTCAATGACAGTAATTCCAACAGTGGTAACTTAAATTGACAGAGCAGACCATACTGACAAAGTTTCCGTTTTTATTCAAGCTCTGAGAGGAAACAAAATGAATTTATTGGTTGTAGATGGAATATGAACAATTTCCTTTACTATTGAACCTCATTTATTAAGAACTCTACATATCATATCGATTCTATCAATTTTTTACTGAAAACTTCAGATAAACGACTTACCAAATGGGACATTCAAACTAAGATTGCACCTGACACAGCCAACAATTCATTTAGTAATAAATGGGAACGATGTTAATGATGAAGTACACCAGGTAAGTAACCAGGTTGTGTTGATCAGTTCGTTCAATCAATAAGACCTCTTAATTAATAGTGTAGTATGAACTTTTTGTATCTAATAATGGCATGAATGTTTCTTCATAGGCTACCTGTCCTTCTAAGGAAACATATATTTTTTTCTCTTTCACAAAAAATGTAGTTGTAACTGTCTGGATTTTTTGAAACACTATGTCTTTTCCCTTTGTACTTGTTTCACTTGAAAGGTACAAATGTTGATGAAAAATACACCACAAAACTCATATTGACATTTCGCCGCGGTATAGCCTTCTCAGGCTGGTTCGGCGTAAAGCAAAAATCAATCAACCAATCAATCAATTTGAAATTGGGTATTGAACAAGCTTAATCAGTTACTGCGATTAGATTGGTGCTTAGTGTATTTTGTCTTTTTTATTGTTATTATGTGCCAATCTGAGGAATACAGTTCTTTTAAATATTTTTTGTATAATTTTGTCAAATGATGTACTGTTACTCAGGTGATGGAGGAGGGTTGAGAGCTGAAACACATGTTTTATTCCGTCCAATTTATATGTAAGCCTGTCTAAAGTCAGGAGCCTGTGGTCCAGAAGTTGTCGTGAGTTGCTATCTGTCATAATTGTCTTTTGTTTGACGTTATTACTGGAACCAAGCTGTTGGTTTATCCCTCTTGAATCAAATTTTGTTTTACCGGAGCCTTTTGAAGATTATTGTTCCGTATCGGCTTTGCCCATTATTGAAGCTGTACGGTGACCATTAGTTATTTTATATTATTGTTCTTTGGTCTTTGATGGACAGTTGTCTACTTAGCAAACATACCTCGTCTCCTTATTTTTAAACTGGTAAGACATACTATTATTATTTCATAACTGAAAATAACTTGATGAAATTGCTGTTTTCAAACTATAAGCAGCTAAGGGGTCAAACATTGCATGTTTACATATATAAATTCAAAGTAATGCATCAAGCACAATACAGTGTCGACAGTCCCTTTTTTATATACACTCCTCCCGTGTTGTAATTGTTTGCTGTCGTGTTGTAATTGTTTGCTGTCGTGTTGTAATTGTTTGCATCATGTTTTTTAGCGCCGTTCAGCGTAAAGCTTAGTTTTTTGCCATTAGTATGCTTGATGTTGTGATTAATATGATATTAGATGTACTGCAATGGCAAGGCAACCAAGCAACAGTAAGAGATATGGTTCTGAAGAATAAACAATGTCTAAAGATTGGTTTGCCAAGCTCTTAATCACCTCACAATCTAGAAAATCTATGGGAAGGAGATTATCAAAGACTCATTAACACCAGTTTCCGTAAAAAAGAGAAAAAAAAATAATATCTGATACCAATGACTGGCACGGTTTTACATATTCTAACATAAATATCTTGTATTGTGGTCAACATCGTCTGAAAACCTATCCAAAGATAATTAGTGAAAATTATTAAGTTCATCATCAAAATAACATCATTACTAATCAATATGTCGAAATCTTGTTGATATTTGTTTTATTTTTTTTTTCAATTGTTCGTGATAATTACTAAAATTAAATTTCATAGATTTTAATGATCGCGATGACACCTTTAGCTACTTCATATTCACTATCTTGTTAAACAGCGAAAATGTAAAATTACTCTTTTCATTTTGTTAGAATAATTGAATTTGATAACTCTACCTTTTCGCCCTCCATCAATAATAAAATAATATAATGTATAGCTAACACATCTATAGGAGTAATTAAAAAAATGCTATATTCAATTAAAAACACAAGTTTCTAAAATAATTAAAACAGTGACTAAATTATTTTGATAACATTTGGAATGTATATAATTAGACCACTCTCTCGGCGAATTTAAGGGGGAAACTATTTTAAATTAGTTTTAAGTGTCCTATAATTTGTATCAAAAATAGTATGCAGTAGAAAAAATGATATACGTTGTATACTTTAAATTGTTATAATTACAGAAAATTAAAGATAGTATGGAAGCAGGAGACTTAAAAAGCACTACAGCTTATTATGTCGACATTAACGTGGAGATAACAGAGAACTGTCTATTAATACATAGTCAGAGTGGATCAGATGTCTATGCGAATTCCGGTAGGTGTCTCTAAAACTTAAATTCGTTATAAATTATGCACTGCTTAAGGTACTTAGGCATGCAAGGGGACATTCAAAACTAAAGACCGAAAAATGCAACACAACACAAATCCCACCAAGTACTTTGGTGATCTCAAGTGTTCACGAAGAGTAAGCAGATCATGTTCCACATGCAACAACCATCAACAATGTTAACGAGGTTATAATTTGTTATTCTTTTAGTTTAGTCTTTTCTAATTTTATTTGTCAGTGGCATTATATTTCAATTAATTTAATTGATTTTTACTTTTGATTTTCCCCTTGGTAAGTGGTGGTATTTTTTTTTATCCTTCACTTATAAGTTTACAAGACTATCTTGAAGTAAGAGTCGTTCCTTGTTAATTTTACCCGTTTCGGTTTTCTTGTGATAAAATGCTCGTCTGGGATGCAGCGACTCGTGGGTCAGATAAGCAGTGTCAAAACAACGACGTCTTTAAAAAGGGTTCTTACTACTTCTAAATGTGCACTCTGCTTTAATGAATATGAGAAAACATCTATTTTCCTGGGTACCATTATTCACAGATTGAGAAAAACGTGCATTTTCGTGGATGTTTGATTTCGTGGTTTTGCCAAAGTCTACAAACAATCACATAGCAAACTTGCAATTTGTTGAACATTTGAATTCGTAGTTCACTTGTACCCCCAAAATTCACGAAAATTGGTATCCAACGAATAAATATGAACCCACAGTAGACCAAGAATCAGCATGTGTCCAGTTAGATGACATGTCTTTCTGGTTACCGATATTTTGTGCTCATAATTAAAATTCCGACTCAAAGGGTAAATTTTGTACAAGGTAGTAGATCTTCATAACACATTAAAGCGGTATTGACCTGAATATGAATGTAATATTTACTGTTTGGTGGATTGATGAATAGATGGATGAATGTTTAACGTTCAGTGGTATATAACATGAATTTTCAGAACCAGAATTTTATAATATGATATGAATATTAATCATACGTTGTACTACACCGACACGCTAAGTCAGATGTTTAACATGCTAGTTCACAAGGTCAGTCCAAACGAAGACATGCCACCCTACCCGGACACATTATTCTGAGCCGACAGACTTTGCTTATACTCATAAATGCCGCGCGCCTAGCGGAGAAGCATTCAAGTCTGATCTGATCCGGTTGGGGTTTGAATTCCTGACCTCCTGCAATCGAAGCGAGCACGCTACTACTAGACCACCGAGGTGGTATATACTGTTGAAACTTTAACAACTATCAGTCAGCTCGTCGTTGTAATTTTCAACAACTATTTTATATAATCACTGACCTTACAGAAAAAAATGGACAACAGTTTAAACTTATGTTTTTAATAAACTATAAGTGAAATTTATATAAAAATTCCTTTGAAATTCAAAGTTCCGAATTTAAATATATGAAAGCTTACAATATTGAATTAGAAATAGGTCCATAATGTCCATTTTTACAAATGAATAAAAATGATAACATTTTTGTCATATTGTATAAGTGTTTTGTGTAGTATCACTTAACTCGTTTAAGATTTTTTCTTTTATGCAATAAAGTTCCGATAATATCAGAAAAAGCTCTGTCGGTCTAGTATTTATTAAGAGAAAAGTGCATTATATAATGTGATCGAAGAAAAATAATTTAAAAATTTCAAGATACACGTGTTATTTTGTTTAGTACATGTACATTTAAACTGTGTACGACCTTGTTTTTGATCCAACTAGACGAGAAATCACAGAAAATGAGATGGATGAAGATGAATATTGGCAGAATTCCATTCTGAAAAAAAAAATTGTCTTGGATTCAACATTTTTTTATTAGTTGTTTATATCATGGTTATTGGCTTGGAACTTCCAGTAAATGCAAATACTCACAGATCGATTCTTTGTGTCTTTGGTGTTTATGTAATTTGATCAACAGGAGGGTTGGGAGCCCGCAAACATTGAAACCACGCTATATTTTGTATTTGCCTGTATTGAGGGCATACGATACAGTTTCGATTCCACGGTGAATTTTTGACGAAAATTTGCAAACAAGCTATTTTTCACGTAAGCAATTTAAAAGTTTGAGAGATAAATTGGGTTGAAAATTTTAGACATTTACTCAAAATTTCGTTTTTTTCGGGACATTTCTATCCTTTGGATAGATATACCTATTTTTTTTTGTTTCAAAAGATAAACACAAGCTTAGCTGATTTTTTGGAAAATCGTCTTTACATAAGTATGCTCTGATTTTGTAAAACAATTCTTTGGAAATAATTATTTTTTTATCAATGTTTCAGGATTTTAGAAAAAAAACAGCAATTTTTGCTGTATATTTATCTGATTTAAACAAATTTCACCGGTGATTTTTTCATAACAAATGGTGCAAATAATAGTCATATGTCATTAAACCTTATGTCATTTTAAAAAAGAGGGGTCTTTGAACTCGATTTCAAATTAAATGAGTCTGAATGATAAAAAATAAGTCGAAAAATGCATCTTTACCCGGTATGTCACAGTTTGACGTCGCGAAAAATAGCATTCTATGTTAGCAACGTCATTATCTCCCCTGTAACTGTATCGTATGCCCTTAAGGTAGATGGGGTGTCTAAATTATAATCCATAGAATTTTTTAATAATTTGCCAAAATGTAGTTTATATCATGCTCTTTAAAAAAAAATAATAAAAAGAATGGGTCACGGGGCTTATTTTCACGCTACAGGTTGTGCAAAATTGACAGATTTTGTATAGATTATGCATGGAAAACCCAATTTTCTGCCATAAAACGAAAACTACACCATAGAATTTTGAGATAAAATATGAGAAGATAGCTCTAATAGTATGCTTTCAGATAAGAAAAAGAAAAAATGGGGTCACGGGACCCGTTTTCTTGCTACATAATAAAATAGGTAATTTCCTAACACATTCTATTGTAAAAGTAACTTTATCTGAATTATCTGCCCTTACATTTGAGTTGCCTCCCCTTATGTGGCAAAGTTGGAAAAAATAGAATCAAACAAAAGTATTCTGTTTTTCTGTAAAATACAACCATAAATATGATAAAATATGTCATTTTCTCTATTGAAATGAAAATTCTTACACATGAATTACCTACTACTCTCAAAATTTGCACCTTTTATTAAAGATCTAGACCGATTGTTTTCTTGTATTTCAAAATCCAAGATGGAGGAAGACACCCTATCTACCTTAAGTCTAGATTCTGTAATGCAGTAGCTGCATGTCGTTTGTTACTGTATATCATATTTGTTTTCTGTTTATTGTTTTGAACATAAATCAGCCCGTTGGTTTTCTCATTTGAATTTCTTTACCTTTAATTTTGTCGGAGCCTTTAATTGCTTGCTAAGATGCATAGGTTTTGTTAATTGTTGAAGGCCGTACGGCGACCTAAATTTAACGTCATTTGGTCTCGGGGTGATAGTTGTCTCATTGGAAATCATACCTCATCTTCTTATTATATATAACTATGTGCTTTCTTAGGTCCTTTTGTATTCCGAATAAAACTACTTTTAAAGAACATTGCTATTGAAATGCATTAAAATATAACCCTCGCGATCTCTTTATTCATGCGTGTTCTATAATAATGATAACTTTAACGATAATACATTACATTTACTGTAGACAACTTATTTTTTTCGAGCGATGTATTTTCGCGAGTAGAAGATCAACGTTAAAATGTGAAACTCAGATCTACTCGTATGGGAACAAAACAACTTAAGGAAGCGGCGACAATATATTGCCTTAAAATAGGATAGAATGAGTTAAACGCGAAAAAAAAGTATTAGCGAAAATATGTTTTTTTAACAGTATCTCAATAGTTGTGTATAATGTCTTTTTATTTTGATCGTTACTTTTCCATTATACACGACAGGAATCACAGAACTGAACCATGTCGAACATGAAAAAACCATGACACTACTGAACCAAACCATGACACCGAAATTTATCTTAAATTGTGTGCAAATGTAGCTCTTTTTTTTCGGAATAATTGACGGCAGGTTTATATCATAACGAAATATGTGATGTAACAGACAGTAAACACATCACTTTTCTTTATGCATTATAAACGAATAACAACTTTTAAATTGTGACATACGGAAGCATTATTCAAATTATAACTATATGATAAAAATTTTAATGTACTAATATATAAGCCATAAACAAAGATACTTACCAGCTTGAATTTATGTTCAGAATTTCCTTTAGCGAAAAATCCGAATGTTTATGTTGTGTCATTGTTTGTCATTAAAAACACTTAACACAATGTTTGTCATTAAAAACACTTAACACAATCATGTCCAACTTAACCAAACTATGACAAAATCACTGAACTTAACGCTCCTCGATATGACGACCTTACTACCTGTGATAACAAGCATTATTATGACGCTAACGTTATAAGACAAATTTGATTTTGTTTTTATCTAAGCAGATTTTTTAAGATTGATTCTTCTACACAACCTTTTTGGAATTTTCGGTTATTAATGCTTTTCACCTTCATAATAATTGATTTGGCTTCGAAACTGTTTTAATTCGAGCGCCACTGGTAATTTGTTTGTATACGAAACTTGGTCTTGCGTTCCAAATGAAACGCCTGGTATCTTAGATGAGATTTTTGTTTTAACACTGTTTTAAAAGAGAGGCGAAAGATACCAAAGGTGAATTCATAAAAGTAAAACATAAAAAATAACGCCATTGAAAAAAACGAAAAAAGGACCAAAACATACAAACAACAGTACACAAAACACAGCATAGACAAACTAAAGACTGAGCAACACGAACCCCACTGAAAACTGGGTATGATTGCTAAAGGGTAAAAAGAGCCTATGGCATGCAAACAATGTCGTTTCACTCGATGTATTTATTTTTGAAATATTTTACCTTTTATTATTCGGTTCCGTTTGAACTTTATGCCAGGTATAAAACTGAATTTTGCCAGGTATAGTTGCAAAGTTGAATTAAGATTTAAAGGTTTGAATATAAAATGTCGTAATTAACTAGTGACCATGTACGGGTTGATAAATACTTCCCTGGCTTCTTCCACAATGTCTTGTATGTCCTAGTTTGATCTCGCTATAAATGATATGCATATTAAACTAATGAGATAAACAAACAAAACATTTAAAAATTCTTTTACGAGGTTCTGTTGGACTTCATATGATGACAAAGCCATAGAAAAACATCCAAAACCGTTAAATTATAAGACCGATTAAACGGTCAATATGCTTTTTCGTTGCAGACTACTTGTGTGCCTTTGCATTACTTGACAAGTCCTATAAAGACAAAGCAATTGCCGTGAGTCAGATTAAAGAAGAAGATCAAGAAAAACATAGATTGGCAGATAAAGCACTTCCAATGAATATTACTGTTACCAGAAAAGAGATAACAGTTGTTGGATGGTCTCCAAATCTACTCAAGAATGCAAGTGGTGAGGTATGGTATCTTTAATGAGATTTCACAACCACTGGGTCAATGCCACTGCTGGTGGACGTTTTGTCCACGAGAGTATCACCAGCCCATAAATCAGCACTTTTGTGTTGACAGGAAATATTATTGATATGATCACTTTTTTTTATAAATTTGCTAATCATAAAATCTGGAATTATTTCGAAACACTAAGGTATAAATGCCGTAGTCGTCTTCGGTTCAGCTGTTTGGAGTAATTGCTCTTCAACTGTTTTGATTTGAGCGCCATTATTATTTTAGTATTTTGGTCAGATTTTAATGCAGGTAAAATTATTTTGCTGGGTAAGGATTTGGCTCATACCTAATATTTTCAAAAAACTATGTATAGAATTGCCGTTTCGGTCAAATACGTCAATTGAAATGCAATTGGTTTATGGCGTCACAGTGATATCACAGCTGACTCGTTCAAACTGAAGTGTCCAGTTCCATTTTCAAGCAAACTAACCATATTTAACTAGGATTGAAGAATTTTACCATTTTTCCATTTTCAGGGACAAAATAGTTGTTTTTAGAAATTTTTTGTTCTCCCAAATTTTGCTCTATTTATGTTTATTTTGAAGATTTACGGAACCATATACATCCCCCCAAAAAAAACATAAACATTTGAAAACACTTTATAAATTTCATGCGCCTGAGGCGCTTTTCTGGTTCAGGAACGCTCAAAGCCGAATATTTTGAAGCCGTAAAAGAACTAGAGCAGTTGAAACAATTGAAAAGCTATATGACCAAAAGACAATCTAAAGATAATAGCCGAAACAAATAAGTTGTAATTGATTTTTGATCAAACCAACCACTCACTTTTAATGGAACCTTTTGAAGTTCCAGTGACTGGATGGCTACTTCCGTTTATTCCCTTTACTTTGAAATGCATTGTTTCATATATAAATGGTACAACATTCATCATGTGCATGGAGCAACCAAAGCAACGAATATTTTTCTTTTCTTGTATAGAACAAAGATATGAAACACTGGAACACATCAGGAGACATAAGAGTATGTGATGCATCTGGATATGGGACTGAGGCTTGCTTTAAAACGTCGCATATGTGGTCTGGCAAATATCAAGAAGTAAATCTACTTGATCACTTTGCAGCAGAATACTTAGATAAGGCACCTGATATACAGGTAGGGCGTTTTCGTTTGGTAGATATATTTTGGTAGCTGTTTCAGTTTCAGACATTCCATCCTTCGATTGACACGTCACTGATATATCTCCTGACCTAAATACTGATGACGGTTGTCTACTTGAGATTTTGAGTTTTGTATTTTCAGTTGCCAGTTTTATGCAAAAAAACAAGAAATTTAAAGCCGGTTTGGAACTGATCTGATACTTTTAATTTTTGTACTTTCATAATTCATTTAGTAACCAGTATTTATGTTAAAAGCATGTAGGGTATATGTAAGTAAGACCACAATGATTGTATCCGATTAGGCTAATTCAGAAAAAATATCAAATATCAATGAAATACAAAAGAATATAAGGTCTATGACTAAGGGTTGCGTTTTCAATTGCCATTTCAATTTTTATCCAACCGCCCATTAAAATAATAAAGAAAGCCGGTTAGACTAATAAGATTCAAATTGTCAGAGGATTTCCAGGGAATTTTTATGTGAAACAATTACATCAGCATATGAAAAAAGATGGCAAAGTCCGATGACATGTAAAACATACATTTCATTTAACAGAAAAGTAAGCCTATTACTCTACTAACATTCATATACTTTTAGTAAAATACAGATTCAGCTGTACAACTGAAATTGTACTTCGTGTAAAACACAAATCTATGTAACTTTCTTTTTGATGACATGTATTAAGTTCAAGCATTGTCAATTTGTCACTGTAAATACAATGATTTATTTGAAAAATCATTTATATTTTCATGCATCAGGGGGGAAAAAATGCATAAAAATAACAGTTAGAAATATCCAGCGTCCCAAACACTTATCTTGTTCTATGTTCACCAAGAACGCTCAAACCAAAAAATTTGAAGTATGATTTTAAGATGGTACCAAACACCTTGACTAAAATTAAATTGGCTCGTTTAATTTTCATAAAATTTTGACAAAATATTTACTTTGACCCTTTGACAAAAATATAAAAATTTAAAAAAACTTGAACCACACACTTTATCGGAAAAATTTCATTGGATATATAGCAGTTTGACAAACACTAATTTTGATCATTGAGAAGTTTAATATTTCCTTAACAATAGAACGTGATTAAAACGTTCAGCTGATTTTTACAGAGTTATCTCCCTGTAGTGTTATGTACCACCTTAAACTACCTGAATGAGACAGAAAATGAATAGCCAAATCCATCTAAGGTCAACTTTGTCTAAGGGAGTTTGAACTTTAGTTTTGTATCCGTTTTTAGTGATTCTCATACAAAATTACTTGTCCATACTAGCCTATTGGAAAATCTGTACATATTTAGGCAATCAAAGAATTCGTTGCTGCTGCAATATAAAGAAAGATAGATCTAGTCCGCTTAAAAAACCCTTGAAAATACAAATATTGGTGGCTACTAAAAATAATTCGCATTTTAATTTGTTTTAACACAATTTCTGTGTACAGGTTTCTGAGTGGTATAAACAAGGGCATTGTTCAGGAGGATTCTACTGCTTTACAGCCCAACTCATGTCAGAAGATGGCCAGGTGAGATGATGGGCTTAACTTAAACATCATTTTAAAGTGTGACAGAAAACGGTCAAGTTTAAAAAAAGTTAAAATCGGAAATTTAGCAAACTATTTTGATAACAAATCAGCTAGGACCTCGTCGTCTAATAACCGCATTTCATTTATTATGATAAAAAACTTAAATGTTGTTGATCCAGATTTTTCAAAAAGGGTATTATAGGTAATAAGGAGGTAAATAAGGAAATGTAATCATCATTTTATACAAGCAATTCAAACATTGGTTCGTTTTGTGTAGCCAACCTCGAATGTAGCCAAGCGAGACATAGCGGTTAATTTCGTGTGTTGGTGTCTCCATAAACGCAGTAATTAAAGTTGTCTGATATTCGGTACACAGTTACATCAGCATTACTGCATCTCAGTTACCTGCAACATAAACTGCAACTCATCCTTATTTATCAAGTCTTCCAAATTTTAAGTTTTTTTATTAGCTGGAGCAAACGTTTTACATATAGATATTATCATTATTGACTTTTTAAGGAACAAGTAAAGAAGAAATCCCTTTGTATGTTTAAAGTGTTATTATAATCTTGAAAAGGGAAAGAAATTACAAATTAGGAGTTAAAAGTAAAATAACAAAAATACCGAACTGCAAGGAAAATTCAAAACGGAAAATTCAAAACAGAAATGACGCAGTTTTTCGAAAAGTTCGCCAACTAATTGTGACAATAAGGAATAAGACACTATCAGTAACTGTGCAGATAAAACGACTGGAATTTAACGTTGTCAATACAAACATTATAGGTTATAAAAGAATATACAACAGGAGAATTAGGTTCCTTAACTAATAACGATTGGCAAGAAGCTTCTGTGACTTTCTCTGCTTATGGATCTGGGGTGAGGATCGTCACGTTTTCATCTAAAGGTATGTAATCTTTTAAGATAGTGATGTGACTCTGTGTTGATAATCCTTCAAAAATATTAAAGGTCCTTTTAGTTCCAAGGTCCTTTTAATTAAACTATTACTTTGGCTAAGCCGTATTTGGCACAGCTGTTCGGAATTTTCGGTTTTTAAACGACAACATTTTCGTATTTGATTTGGTCTTTCAACTGTTTTGATATAAGTGCCACTGATGAGTATTATGAAGACAATCACAAACTATCAGATTCACTCGATATTCTTGGTTAAAATGATTAATAACATATTTTTCTTAACCGTCAAAAAATTATTAAGAAACTGAAGTTCCAAATGCCTTCGGCAGAGTTGACCTTAAAAGGACGTGGCTATTATTTTAAAGTTTCTGTTTGGTCATAAAGCTCTAAATGTGTTTTTAGTTTTAAACATCCTTGGCCTTCAAATATTTGGCTTAGCTAGTAACTGATAAAGACAAATAAAAAAAGCGTCCGTCCTTCCTTCCCGCTTCGTGTCCGGTGTATAACTTTTTCATCGTAAAACTTAGGTTAACCAAAGCTGGTATGCAGATGTATCATCGGCTGGGGATGTAATATATACCAAAGTCAGGTCGCTCTGGTTGGCTTTAGATGTGTCATATACCAAAGTCTGATCACTTTGACCATGACTTTGACCTTTTATCCATATAAAGTAAAACCTTGTCAAGTTCGTGTCCGACTCGATTCATTTGTACCGTAAAATATTGAATAACCAAAACTTAGTATGCAGTTGCATCATGGGCTTGGAATGTGTCATGTACGAAAGAACCTTATCCAATTCGTGTCCGACTGATAACTTTCGGACTTTAAAACTTAGGTTTACCAAACTTGGTATGTAGTTCGATCATGGGGAAGGGAGGGGGTCATAAACCAAAGTCAAGTCAGTCTTGACTTTGACATTTGACCTCTATGATAGTAAAACCTTATCCAATTCGTGTCTGGTCCGATTCTTTTGTACCGTAAATCAAAGGATAACCAAAATAAGTATGCTTTGCATCATGGGGTGGGTGTGTGCCATATACCAAAGTCTGGTTACTCTGACCTTTGTCCCCTAAGATAGTAAAACAATATCCAATTCGTGGCCGGCTCGATTCTTTTGTACCATAAAACATATGATAACTTTAATTTGTATTCAGTTGCATTATCGTCTAGAGTCTTGTATTGAAGTCAAGTCACTCTGACCACTATGATAAAAAAAAACTTATCCATTCGTGTCCGTCCTTTCCGCTTCGTGTCCGGTGCATTAACTTTTGTTCCGTAAAACTTAGGTTAGCCAAACTTGGTATGCAGTTTCATCGTGGGCTGGGGATTTGTTATATACCAAAGTCTGGTCACTCTGATCTTGACTTTGACCTTTGACCACTATGATAGAAAACCTTATGCAATTCGTGTCCGACTTATAACTTTCGTACTAAAAAACTAAGGTTAAGAAAACGTGGTCTGCAGCATCATGGTCTAGTGATGTGTCATATATTAAAATCAGATCACTCTGACCCTGACTTTGATCTTTGACCCTTATAAAGTAAAACCTTGTCCAATTTGTGTCTTGGGCAATTCTGTTGTACCGTTAAACGTATGTTAACCGAACTTGGGTATGCAGTTGCATCATGGGGTTGGGTGTGTCATCTTCCAAAGTCAGGTTACTCTGACTTTTGACCCCTGTAATAGTATAACCTGGTCTGATTTATGTCATGCGCTTTACCTTTATACCATAAAACAAAATTGGTATGCTGATACATCATGGGATAAGGTGTGTCATATATCAGTCAGGTCACTCTTACCTTGAATTTTACCTTTGACCCCTTTGATAGTAAAACATTCTCTGATTTGTGTTTGGTGCATAACATTTGTACTGTATCACTAAGATTGACAAAACTTTATATGCAGAAGCATCATACTGACCAGAACTTTGACCTTTAATATCTGAATTTACAGTATACATCAGGCTTTCATATATTTTGATTTTAACGTTTTTGATAAAGTCAAAAGTCAGAAAAGCGTTTCGGACAATCATAATTTATAAGGTATTATTTAATTATTTTTACACATATCGGTAATTTTGTTAAACCAATTTTTGTGATACCCGTGTGTTTATTGGTGTTTGAAATTACATAATACTCCTGTAAGTTAGAAAAAATTGTAATGATATCTGCCAAAAATATGTATCAAAATATTGTTGTTACCAGAAAGAGATCATTATCAATATTTTGTGTATTTTTCCGTTAATCTTTTTTTTTTTATGATTTTTTATATCATACTCCTCGCTTGAGATAGAAAATGATCATCAGAAAGTAAGAGCGTACGTGCCATTGTCAATGTAAACTTCATCGACGTCATAATCAAAATAGCGATAATCAGATTAACAATGGTCTTTCAAACTAGAGGACGATTCTTGGTAACATCTCATCTCAGGGCTATCGTCATTCGATGAGATTTAAGCTGAAAAACGACCTCTCGTTTGAAAAAAAAATCGAAAATCTACAATTATGGTCTAGTGATGTGTCATATATTAATATGTATCAAAATATGTTTTTGTATAAGGTAAGGACGACAACAACTGGACATGGTATTTTGGTCAACGACGTCATAATCAATAATTATCTACGGTCTTTCAAACCATAGGATGATTCTCGGCCACATCTCATCTCAGGGCTGTCGCCCGTCGATGAGATTGTACCTTGAAAACATCCTCTCGTTTGAAAAAAAAACATCGATAATCTACAATTATATATTTTTGTTTTAGGTAAGGACGACAAATACTGGACAGGGTATTTTGGTCCTTACATATCAGCTGCTGGAATTCGTGTGAAGAAGGAAAGTAAACCAGCCAAAGATGACAGCTTTTCAGATATTGATCAGGTATTTCAGAGTTTGAATATACCAAGAAAATTATCATCAGTTGTAAACGAAAACGAAGTAAAGACAAACAAATTAAATAAAAATAACAAACAGACAAAATGTAAAAACTAATCCCATACAAATAAAACGATGGCAAAGATAACATATTCTCTTCGGACTTTACTTAAAAATTAGTTAATTTAAATTATTCATGATCATTGCCTAGCTCAGATATAACTCATGGCAGTTGGAAAAGCAACAATGCAAACTTTTAAGTCGCCATGCGTTCAAAGGCAAACAGCAATAACCATGCGATCAGATATTTTAACGGTTCCTTAATCAATTTTAGAAAAATGCGACGTTTTTATTACAGATATAGAGTATTAAACATACAAAAAATTTGAAAGGTAGAAAACAACAACCACAGAAATACAAGCTGTTCTACGACATGCATATTCAGTTTTGGTCAACATTTTCATAAGCATGCAATGATCCTCTTACCTTAGAACAATGTGATAAACTGTAAAAAGCAATAAAAAAAGGATTGAAACTAGTTAAACATGTTTGCAAGCGTACAACCCTTCTTTTAAACTGAAAACAGTTCAATGAGCCTTAGAAAGAAACTAAAAGGAATTTATACCATTAGATCCGTACTAAGGGCAAGATCATTTGTCGAAGTAACAAGTAACGTGAATAACTCACATTTTGTTCAATGCTAGTAACATTAGCCTATTATGTCTATTTGGGTTGCTCATCCAATTTTGTCTATATGATGTTAACGGAACTACAAACAACGTTCATTCAAGCGGGGATTTAGCTAGCTATTAAGTCAGGTTTAACTCACTTTTTCTTCGGAAATGTCTGTACCAAGTCAGGAATATGGCAGTTGTTTTTCACTTGTTCCGTTGATTGATAGCGTGTGATTTTGATAGATTTTATGAACTTCCCTATTTTGAATTTGCCTTGGAGTTCGGTATTTTCTTTATACTTTTTTCTAGTAACAATTTATCAAGGAATTGTGTTTTCCTAGGTCATGATATAAATCTGCTCACTTCCGACCAGATTGATAAAACAAAAACATCGTTATCGCAGGAAAATCATGGATTTATGCAAGGCCGAATTTTAAGTATTTATAAGATGCAGGACCACAAACAAGACAGCATAATTTGTTTAAAAAGAGAAACCAATCTGAAAAAGTATATTTGAGTAACATAATGTCAAATATTCTGACGACATTTAAAATTCAATTTCATACAAACTCAATTTGACTCCTTATTCCCATAATGAAAATAAAAAAGTTAGGATACAGCATTTTTTACGGAAATTTATTTGATGAAAGGTAAATACCATTCAAAATATCTGCAAGTCTTTTTGATAATCTCGCAATTCTACAATAACAAGGAAATAATAAACTAACTATGTTGCTATAATTTTAATGAAAATTCCTACATCTTGGTAATTACCTCTTATATTAATATCAATTCTTTGAATATTGAACATTAACAGACTGACGTCAGTACCAAAAGGTCTAGTTTAGAAAAAATGGTGACGAATATTCTTACTAGCAATCAGAGTATGTTTGAAGATCTTGTTGACGACAAACGTAAGTTTTAAGGATAAAACTTAATGACCAATCAGATCAGAGAAAACAAATAGTTTGCAAGAAGTCTTAGAAGTCTTAAGACATAAAACAATAGATCAGAAAAAAGACATAAAGACAAATTCCGCCTGCAGATTACAATGGAAACTAAACTTTGAGAAATACAAATGTTACAAAGGAGCAATAATATCAAATCTGCAAATCTACAATTTATAATCAAACTAATTAAACATTTTACCTAATGGTTCAGGTTATACCAGGCTTAAGCTTTTTCAGCATGTAAAATGATTTCACTTGATTTTGTCACACCAGAATATACAAACAAATACTCATGTACTTGTTCATATCTTCGAAATACGAAGAAATAAATTTCGTGCGAAATAAGTTGGTGAAGTTTCTTACTAGAAACATACGTTCCAAATCAAATTACCTGCACAAAAATTCTTTTTCCAGTACATAACGACAAATTAGAAATTGTGAATTCATTTATATTCGTTGGTAACAATATTCGTGGATTAAGGACACATTGTATTTTTGTTGATATTTGATTTCGTTATTTTGCCACAGTCTGCATAAAAGAGCATTGAACAATTGTTCTTCGTTGAAACTTTGAATTATAGGTCCACTTGTATCAACGAAATCCACGAACATTGTAATCCAACGAATAAAAATGAATCCATAGTATAAAATATTAAATGTTAATTTTGTAGATTTACCAGTTGACCAGGAGTTCGAAAAGCAAACAGATATGTCTAATGAATTAGCCTATGGCTGGAAGGGAGGTAAAAGACAAACTCACAAAAAGAGGGAAATCAGAGTATTTGTTTCAAGCACATTTCGAGATTTTACATTGGAGAGGGAAGCAATTATCAAAAAGGCTTTCAGAGACGTGAGTAAGAAAATGTAAAAAGATACCATAGGTCAACAAAACAACGAAAATGTAACGATTGAACAATAAAAAAGAAATCGTCCAAACTAACCAGCAAAGTTGAAATTTGTTCTATTTAGTTAATGTCTTGGGCATGACTTAAATTTTCAAATATACTAAATCATAAAAATTGGTAAATATTTCATTTGATATAAATTAGAATCAGGAGTATAACTTGATATTGTTGAAGGTCTTATTCATCTGTAATTACTATTTTCTTTTTGTTCTTTATATCCACAGAGCATCATAGTTACCATAAAAAAGTAAACATTATGCTTGGAATAAAATAGCACATCTACTAGGTATTAGTCTATTAAGATGAATAATATGATACTCAAGAACAGGCCGACTCACTCAAGAGTTGATGACTTTATAACATTGACAATATATTCATATCAATACAGAAAACACAATATAAATCAATTTAACAAGAGAGAAAAGATAACAAGTCCAATAAAAACAGACATCACCAAGGCCAAAAGGAAAAAAAAACCAAACAAGACAGTGAACAATAACAAATTATTACACAGAAAACTGAAGATTGAGCATCAAAAACCCCACCAAAAACCGGAGATGATATCAGGTGATCCGTATGGGTAAGCAGTACCTTCTTCTTGTACTTATGAATCCGATTTGTGGCTGCACTATAGCTGTTTCTGAAAAACTTTCTTCGTGCGTGCTGAGGACTGAAATATTTTAAGGAAAAATCACTAAAATGTATTTGAAAATTTACCCAAAATTTGCCTGGGTTGCAACTTATGTTTATTACAAGGTAAAGTTTACATTTTCCAAGAAAGTTTTGCATCAAAAGCAACTTAGAATTCTACTTATTCAAAAAAAATTTGCACTTTTTTGCACTCAAATATTCACCAAAGTTAAGATAACTTGTCACTGTTATTCAACGTTAGTTATAAAAGAATACTGATTTGGGAATTATTACTAAGGTGTGCTTAAAATGTTAATACACGACCTATAACTTATCTAGCAAAAGCGTAGTAGTATATTGTGTGATATTTATATGAAATATGAATTGATGCATAAGTTTATTTCAGATAAATCGTCTTTGTGTAGACAGAGGTGTATTCTTTACTTATGTCGACTTAAGATGGGGTATAACAACTGAACAAACAAATGATGGCAAAACTATTGCTATATGTTTACAAGAGGCAAGTATAAGCTTTTGATGTATGGTAACAATAATCAGCAAATATAATCAATTTCTTTACTTTTACAAGAGGTATGTGAAACTATTACAATAAGCTAAAAAAATAATACCATTAGAAATATTTCCGTTCATCATTTAAAGTTTTGATTATTGTAAGAGGCAACATATTTATTTTGTGTGTTTGAGGCAATATTTATTTCTGTGTGTTAGATAGATATAAGAAGATGTGGTATGAGTGCCAATGAGACAACTCTCCATCCAAGTCACAATTTGTAAAAGTAAACCATTATAGGTCAAAGTACAGCCTTCAACACGGAGCCTTGGCTCACACCGAACAGCAAGCTATAAAGGGCCCCAAAAATGACTAGTGTAAAACCATTCAAAAGGCAAGTAACAAAAATATTAACAAGAGGCATTAAAAACTGTCAACAAGAGTCAAGGTTTTTTCTATATCCAATAGGCTACTTTTTTTTGTTATTTTGAAAGGCAAGTAAAAAAGTTTGAAATAGTCAAAATAACAGATTATCAAATAATTATATGTTTTGCAAGAGACAAGTAAAAAAATTGAAACGTGAAAGAGGCAAGTAAGCATTATTGGTGTAAGTTCAAAGGAGGCGAGTAAATGTAAAGCGGTTAATTTAAAAATTTGAATGTAAAAGGTGTCGTTTAAAAAGGTAAATTATCAAAGAGACACTTACATACTATTTTTATCTGTGTGTTTTGTTATGATAAGAAACAGAAAGTTGTAGAATGATCACAAGATATACTGAACGGAACAGTGATGACAAAATATTTTTGTGAAATTGTAATTGAATCTTAAAAAGTATGAAGTCAATGTTTTTTTCAGATAGAACGATGCCGGCCATATTTTATCTGCTTGATGGGGGATAGATTTGGCTGGAGCCAGACAGAAGAAAAAAAGGATGAAACTCTTAATATGACTTTTGACTATGCTATAGAGAATAATCCAAATCTGAAGTGGATTGATAATTATAGATACAATACAAGTGTAACACAGGTCAGTTACCAGATAATAGTTTGACTGTACAAATCCAATAAATGTAAAAATTCTAAAAACCAAAATCAAAATTGTTCTAACTTGTTGCTAATGAATTATGTAGATAAAAAATGGTGATACCATTTCAGTGTAACATGAAATAGGGAAATTCTACTTGTAATAACATAGCAAGAAGATACCAAGGAGCAATTGGAAACTAAAAGCAAAAGAAAGATAGAAATCACAATAATCAATACAGGAAAGACGAATAGAAAAACAATAGTCCACAAAACCTACATAGAAATTATGAGTAAAGCGCGTCCGATCAAAAATAGGACTTACATTCGTGTGCACTTAAAGGATTTAAAGTTTCTTACCCTATCTTACAATTCGATTGTGTTTATATGAAATGGTGATGAGGCTTTATACCTCAGGGATTGGTGGATGATTGTTATATGATACATATAAATACAAAATTAATTTACCATTATTACATGTCAAATTATATTACCATTAAATATGACTGAAGGTGAAAAAAGAGGCAAAAGATACCGAGGGATTGTTCAAAACTCATCAATTGAGATAAAATGACTTCGCCATGGCAAAAAAGAAGGACAAAAAAACAAGCAGGTTCACAAACACAATGCATAGAAAAATTAAGACTGCTCAACTAGAACCCCATCTAAAACTGGGGGTGATCTCAGGTGCTCCTGAAGAGTAGGCCGATTTTGTTTCACTAGTGGCACCCGGTGTTTTGCTAATGGGAACTACAGATTTGGTGAAGATTCTCATTCGGTGATGTCAAAATCGTGGAAAAGATGACGGCATTATGGATAATGACAATTCGAACATATCCGTTTAAAAAGACTTTAATGGCCTTTTATAGCTGACTAGGCGGTATGGGATTTGCTCATTGTTGAAGGCCGTACGGTGATCTATAGTTATCAATTTCTGTGTCATTTGGTCTCTTGTTGAAATTTGTCTCATTGGCAATCATACCACATCTTCTTTTTTAATATATCCGTGGTCACCTGTGAAATAGATAACAGTCAGCCAACTCGGGATGTCGTTCATAACCATTTAAAAGGTATGACTTCAATTTTACCGCTTAGAACTCTTGGTTCTATAAATTCTGTGAAAGCAGCAACCTTCCTTCAAGGACATCATGACAGGAAACGCAAAATCTGGAATATCGTAATGACTGAGAGACATATACTTCATATGCAGGCGCGAATGAAATGATGCTACATAGATATGGAAATCGTTCCATTTGTCGTAAAGTTTTGATCCCAATCAACCTCCGTGTCAATTTGTAGGTGTAAATTAAGAAATTATATTTGACTGATATTTATAAATGTTCACATACTTAAATTATAATTCAAGTAATGTTTGAACCAACATCATCTTTAAATACAGTTTTGGAACTATCAAATAGCTCATGTTCTTATGATTTAGTCATTGGCTTAGTTGAAAATCCAAACATACTTATCATAATAAGATGTTTGTCAAATATTGATACATGGTCCAAAGTGTGATAAAATATCGCTTTAAGAGTGCAGAAATGTCACAAGAAAAGACACCATATCCATCCATAGCTTATGAGTTATTGTTTTGTAAAATAATCATAGTTTCCTATGTTAACAGGTTCTGCTTGCAACATGCTAGATTTAAAACATCCCAGCCTGTTTGTTTTATATTCAAAAGAAGAAATAACAAAACCAATTTACATTAATTTAGTACTTACTGTAAACCAACTTATTTTCGCGGATACTTTATTTCGCGTTAGCCCTTTCTAGCCCATTTCACGGTGAATTAATTTCGCGATTTTAAATTCACTTGATGTAGTTCGATAAGGAAAGATCCAAGTTTCAAATTTTCACGACGATTTATATTCGCGTTATTTTTCTACTCCCGAAAATTAATCGCTCGCGAATATTTGTTGATTAACAATAGTTCCAGACGTATCATAGAATCGAACTAAATTAAAGGTCTCATGTAATGTTTTCCAACATTTTAGTATTTAGAGAGCGCCTTACCAACACTTACCAACATGCAACAAAATACAAAAAGTCCACAAACTCATTTAAACGTTCATTATAAGCAAACATCGAGTGATAGTTTGTACTGGATGAAATGTGAATGTGTCACATCGAAAACGTTCGATCAAAACCACGATTTCTTATAGTACAAAAGGAAATCGCAGTTGTGAAAGCAATAACGTTTGTCATTTTTTTTTAAGCAGTCATGTTAAACCATGTATTTTCTGCTTATAATGAACGTTTAAATGAATTTGTGACATCGTGTGTGTTATAAGCAAACAAAGCATGATAGTATGTATTGGATTAAATGTAAATGTGGCACATCGAAAACGTTCGATCAAAACAACGATTTATTATAGTACACAAGGAAGTCGCAGTTGTGATAGCAATAATGTTTGTCATTTCTTTGAAGCAGTCATAATAAACCATGTATTTTCTGCCCAAATATAAACAGACATTCCAAGAGTCCCTGAAAAGAAGTTCCAGGGATAGTTTTTAAAAGAATATTTTGATTTGTCAGATTTTGTGACCGACCCAAATTTCCTGCATTATCATCACGATAGTTAATGGTTAATATAAAAAATAAATACCCATGAAAATGAAATTTCTTTTCTTCTTAAAACGACAAGTAATGTTATAACAATGTAAACAGAATAAAGCGCATATCTAGAGTCAGTTAAAGTATGGACAACATAGTTCGAGATGAGAAAAATGTAGGTATAAAATAAATTATACTATTTATAAGAACGATGTCACAAATAGTGTTTAAGGCAATGGTCAACTTCGGACTTTATTTGGCATTTTATCTTTTTTTATTCGAGCATCGCTGATGAGTTTTTTGTAGTCGAAACGCGTGTCTGGCGTATAAAATTTTAATCCTGGTATCTATGATGAGTTAATTAATATTCTGTTGATTAATTTCTAATCTAAATTACCAGTTAAATTTAATAGTTGATAAACAGCCGTTGAAATGACCTTTTAAATTTACAACAAAATTATTAAAAAGTTCCACACAAACTGAAAATATGTATTCACCATTACGCACTATAATCTTGACAATATATTTTGTTTTAGCTTGAAATTTTCCATGGAGTCCTCAATAATCCAGATGATGTAAAAGACAAATGTTTCTTTTATCTCCGTGATCTACCATCACAAGATGAGGTGTCACCAGAGCTATACAAGGTAAATTACAAACATTCCTAATAAGTTCAAAATTAATGTCATTTTTTCTTCCTTTTCATATCTGTAATTTCACTGTAACAAGAACTGATTTTGCCAGAATTATACTTATTCACAAAGAACAAAGATAATGAACTTTACATTTGATTTTTATCGTCCATTTTGATGCTTACAGTTGCATGAATTTCTTTGTTTAAACAGAAAAGACATTTAGTGTAAATAGGTTTGGTTAGTAGATGGTATTTATGGTTTGCCATTTTTTGGCTGAAGAATCCTCCCTAGACATTTTAATGTGTTTATCCTTTTTGTTTTTTGTTTATTCTCATTCAAGCAGCCCGATGTTCAAATGTTCAAATAACATATTTCATGGTTTCAAATGTATCAAGATATGCACTTGTGTTATTTTCTTAAAAAATACACCGTACCATCAACAATTATGACTTCGGATTTCGGACTGTATGACTATTGCATAATAACTAAGTACCAATAAACTGTACCAAAGGTAGCAAACTTTTCCAGGTTGTAACATTTATTTTTGATACTTGTAGCGTCTTGTTAGTGAATCTGAATGGCATAAAAAACAACAGGACTATCTGAAGTCATTGGTACAACAGCATCCAAAAATCAGTGTAAAGAAGTTTAAGCAAGCTGATGAAGTATCTGAACTCATAAAGCAGGTAATTATCTTAATATGTTTTATTGAACAATGATGAAATGGTTATCTGCTGGTTTGATTAGTCAAATTTAATTCGGATGACAAAAATACTAGCTGTGGATACTATAAAGAGATTGATTAATTGCCTTATTTGTAGAGAGTTTAAAGAAAAGGGCCAGGCAAAGGACATTTAAATTATATAACTTATTTAGCCTGTTGTTGCTATATTGACCAAACGCTTATAATTTAATAGGATTTAAAAGGCTGTGTTGATCAGGAATTTCCAATTGGAAGTGAATTAACAAAACTAGAACAACAAGGTGAAGCACATGCAGCTTTTGCATCACAGAGATGTCGAGTTTACATAGGAAACCAGAACTATTTTACAGAAATCAACAACCACAGAAGTCAGAACATATCACAACCATTCATTATACTTGGAGAATCAGGTAACGAGTGTAGTTCTAAAAACAATATTTTGTATATGATATTGCTATAAAATCGTATGAAGGGTGTATGAATTTATTAGTATTCATGGTAGAATTTAAGCTGCATATTTGAACACTCCTATTCCGAGCCCACCAGTCTTGCTCTTACTCTTTGACACTAGGAGCTTAGCGGAGACGCATCAAATACTAATTTTCAAGTCTTTGGTTTACCCTGATTGGTCAGAGGCGGAACAAGCACTCTACTACGAGACAACCGATGCATTAAAATGTATGACTATGCAATTAGGAACTATGTGAACATTACACACGTGTAAGTTGAGTAACCCTTATATTGTGTGTTAATTCTTTTTCTTCGGCCATCAATAAACTAAATATGTTTTACCACTTGCGCGGAAATATGATGCAACGACTTTCACATTGCGAGCAACTAAATATAATAACAACACATATGATACTGGCAAAACTTATAAGTAAGGAAAGATGATAATACTGTTGTATGCATTACTTAGAATTCAAAAACCCAAGCACCTTGAACAGACACTTGGATGCTATATGTTGATATATTTTCACAATACTTTGATAGGTTGTGGTAAGTCAGCGCTTGTTGCTAACTGGGCGAAACAGGTTGAGGATTCTGAGAAGGACACATTTATTTTTCTTCACTTTATTGGAAGTTCAGCTGATAGTGCCCACTATATAAAAATGATCAGAAGGTATATATAGATATGAATATGAACATACATGTATAGAAAAAACTTACCTTTTGATTTGTGGATATTATATATATATACGAAAGAAGGCGTTCTTGCATACCCAAAGGTATTCCTGTCCTTCGTTATAAATAAAGACGTCGCCATTCTCTCAATTTTCAATGTGTTTTAATCATTAAAAAAAAATGGAATTCTTAGTTTCATAGTTAGCTCAAATCATTTTCTTTTCTCAATCCCTTTACAAACGAACGCAAATCATCGGACTTAACTAGTTAAAGTAAGCTTTTCTAACATATGAACAAACTTGAAGATAACAAATTTTATTTTTGGAACTTACATATTTTGATAGAGATCTTCTTGATTTTACCAAATTATCTTTTATAATTGATAATTGAACTGGTGCATGTTGCAAAGGATCTGTATCTTATTGGAGCACCTGCGATCCCCCTGGATTTTTTGGAGCTGTTGTTGTGCAATCTTAGTTTGTTTTCTATGTTGTGTTTTGTAGCCTATTGTTTGTGGTTTGGTCGTTTTTAGCTCACCTGGCCTTTCAAGTGAGCTTTTCTCATCACTTGGCGTCCGTCGTCCGTCGTCCGTCGTCCGTCGTCGTCGTCCGTCGTCCGTCGTCGTCGTCCGTCGTCCGTCGTCGTCGTCGTTAACTTTTACAAAAATCTTCTCCTCTGAAACTACTCAACCAAATTTAACCAAACTTGGCCACAATCATCATTGGTGTATTTAGTTTAAAAAATGTGTCCGATGATCTGGCCCGCCAACCAAGATGGCCGCCATGGCTAAAAATAGAACATAGGGGTAAAATGTAGATTTTGGCTTATATCTCTGCTCATCAGATAAAGATCTATCTGCCCTGAAATTTTCAGACAAATCAGACAACCCATTGTTGGGTTGCTGCCCATGAATTGGTAATTTTAAAAAAATTTGGAGGTTTTGGTTATTATCTTCAATATTATTATAGATAGAGATAAACTGTAAACAGCAATAATATTCAGCAAAGTAAGATCTACAAATAAGTCAACATGACTAAAATGGTCAATTGACCCCTTAAGGAGTTATTGCCCTTTATAGTAATTTTTTGACATTTTTTTGAAAATTTTTGTAATCTTTTACACAAATCTTCTCCTCTGAAACTACTGAGACAAATTTAATCAAACTTGTACACAATCATTATTAGGGTATCTAGTTTGAAAAATGTGTCAGATGACCCTGCCTGCCAACCAACATGGCCGACATGGCTAAAAATAGAACATAGGAATAAGATGCAGATTTTAGCTTATATCTCTTAAAGTAAAGCATTTAGAGCAAAAGTGGTAAAAATGTTCTTCAGGTTAAGATCTATCAGCCCTGAAATTTTGAGACAAATCAGACATTCCGTAGTTGGGTAGCTGCCCCTGAATTGGTAATTTTAAGGAAATTTTACAGTTTTTGGTTATTATCTTGAATATTATTATAGATAGAGATAAACTGTAAAAAGCAAAAATGTTCAGCAAAGTACGATCTACAAATAAATCAACATGACTAAATTGGTCAATTGACCCCTTAAGGAGTTATTGCCCTTTATAGTCAATTTTTAAAAAAATTTTGTAAATTTTTGTAATCTTTTACAAAAATCTTCTCCTCTGAAACTACTGAGACAAATTTAACCAAACTTGGCCATAATCATCATTAGGGTATATAGTTTCGAAAATGTTTCCGATGACCCCGCCTACCAACCAACATGGCCGACATGGCTAAAAATAGAACATAGGGGTAAAATGCAATTTTTGTCTATTATATTTTGAACCGTTATAAGTAGAGACAATCTGAAAGGAGCAAAAATGTTCAGAATAATGAGCTCTACCAATCGTCCATATACGTCAAAACTGTTAGACAAATTCTTATAGGAGTTATTGCCCATAAATGACAAATTTTACCATTTTTTCATTTTTGCCTATTATCATGAAAACTATGATATTTAGAGAGAAACATTTTTTTTTTCCGTTATGCCTTATATGATTTAAATTATAATAGATACATAAACACTTTAAATCACAAAAATGATCAGCAAGGCAAGATCTATTAAAAAGTCAAATTTTGCCGATATAGTTAGTAGACTGTCACGCTTCATAGGGGTGATTGCCCTTAAATGAGATTTTGTTTACCCTCTTTTGTGTTTTGAGCAAAAAGTAAAGAAAACAGAGAGAAACTAAACAGACTAAAAGATCAGTAATACAAGATCAACAAAATAGAGATTTTTGTCATGAAGTCTATTCTTGTCTACAATGTTGGAGAGTGTCCTTTGTTTGATATGCACATACACCAAGGTGAGCGACACAGGCTCTTTAGATCCTCTAGTTCGTTTTTTGCCAATTTTGTCTTCGACTTTGAATATCCCTTTGGTATCTTGCGCCTCTCTTGTAATGTTCAAACTTGTGACTAAAACTTTGAAAAGTTGATGATACTAAATAATCTATTCAATCTTACAAAAGTCCTATCAGAAATATAATTTTAATTACACTTCATCTGAAGTTGATATTTAAAACAACACTCCTTGTTATTTAAACTGTTACAATTCAGGTTTAGAAAATATCTTTATGGTTGTTTTGTTACTGCAGACGTTAATGTGTCAAAGATAAAATATTTTTAAAATTTCTTCCAAAAATTAACCACATTTAGTTCACATTGTGAAATTAACGAAACAAATTGTCGTAAAGTAATATAGCGACTCCCTTCCCTTTTACTGCAAATCTTTGTGTTAAAGCAGAGAAAAACCGATAAACATATAAGGTTCATTGTTCAAAACATGTACACGTATGATATGAATAAAATGATGTGTACTTCTTTTACTAATACTAAAAAAAAATGAGTAATAGATTAGCAAATTGATTTATAAGGGCAATTCAATTTTCATTTTCACATGAAGGTAACTTTTTAATCACCACTTTTCAAACAGTTATTCTAACACCTACTGATCAAAGTGAATAATACCGTTTTGTCTCCTTAATAAGTGTTAATTAGTATCGAATCAAATCTCTTTATGAACGCTCCCAACCGAATATTCGGGGAGTAAACGGAAGATACAAACGAAAAAGACCTAAAAGTAATTGCCTAAATTTCTATAATCAAATGAGGAAATTCAGAATTGAAAAGGTTCTACTGCCTAATTTACATACACTATGAAGAAAAAAACTTATGTTTATAATTGCTACAAACGTTTAAAATATTTTTTTTGTATTACAGATTATTTGAAGAGATGAAAGTATTCTTTAATTTTGATATGCAGATTCCTTCATCAGATACAGTACTAGTACATGAAATAGGGAAGTGGCTTCGATTGGCAGGATCTCTAACAAAATGTGTCATAGTTTTTGATGCTGTAAATCAACTGGATGATGGATCGGGAGTAGGCGGTTCGTTGAAATCGAATAAATATGATTAAAAGCGCTTGCTTAACCTGTTACCTGAAATTTTTTCTATAATTTAATTAAGTAAAATTCTTCTTCCACGTTTAATAAGCTTTAAAAGATAACATTTGAGAAATTTTTATTAAGTACTGTCTATGGTTATGTTTAAATTACTTTGTCAGATGAGTTAAGTGAAATGAAAAACCCTTCTGTAAAAACGTTGATTATTATTCACCGTATTATTTATAGTAATTGTGCAATTATATAATAAAAGATAATTCTTGTCTTGTAATATTTATAATAACATATAAATAAAATTACTTAGTGTCAGCAGAAAGATGAAATGACGACTACTTTAATATGAAAATAAGGAGACGTGGTATGATTTCCAATGAGACAACTTTCCTGCGAAGACCGAGGGTATAAACAACTACAGGCCTTTAATGACGAATGAAACCAATACACATACTCACGAAAAGCATTTATTTATTGTCTCACCCTGTTTTTTTTATTAATATGACTTCATTACAATGGACTGAAATCTCTATGGCTCAACCAAAGTATTGGCTGAGAATAGTGTATATGGCTATAAGCCTAAAATTTTCATAACCAACTCTACGTCGGACGGTTTATAAAAAGAATGTTACACCAGCAAGACCGATGGTAGGAACCTCTGTCATCCATTAATTTCAGCCTTCAGAGAGATAGAATAAAGCTTAGAATGCCCAGATCTCATTAGAAAATAAGAAGATGTAGTATAATTGCCAAAGAGACAACTATCAACCAATTACTAAATGACACAGATGGAATAATCTGGTAATGTAATATTATTATATCTCCGATAATAAATACTGAAATAATATTGATATTAATCTTTTTACAGAGAGTACTGAACATGATTTGTTGTGGATACCATCAGAAATTCCGCCCAATGTTTTTCTATTGATATCTACACTTCCTGGCAGGGTTAGTTACATATTTATATAAAAAGTTCAAAGACCTGGAGATTAACTTTATAATTTTCTCATAGTACAGTACTGTGTTAAACATTACGAGTGCTATCCGATGCTTTTAACGTTTAATGCAAAATATATTCATCATGGAAATTAAAGCAAGAATAAAGTCGCGTAAGTTGAACTTTGTAATATGTATGATAATTGAAAAAAGGTATATTTGCTAAAACAAAGTATATTTACACAGCTTGCATTGCTTTCATAAGTTTAAATATGGACTAGTGAAGTCTTAACAACCATCTTTAATAATCATTGCAAAAATGCAAAAAACCATCAAGGACATATCTGTGCTAAAATATATAAACATACAAATTACAATATGACTTTCTTCAAATGCTTTGAGTACAAACGCGTGGTAAAATATGAGTATATTGATATGTCAGCTGAATCTCGTTGATTGTTTGTGCTGTTCCAATCTTACTCCAACGTCGTTTGCTTTTTATGAATAAGTTATCCTAGGTTAGACCTAGAGCGCGTTGATTCAAAGGAATTGCTTTTTTTGTCCTGTTAGAATAGAAATAATTCTTGGGGCTTGGTTTTATATTGGTTTTACCATGGGTTCGCTGTCGCTCATTGTAAAACTTTTAGCATAAAGGGAACACTCGTGGTAAAATGTCGAAAAAAATCAAGCCCCTGAAATGAATAGTAATATTAGAGTTTAATGTTAAGATATTCAACTTTCGCCATTTTGGTTGTTCACATCTTTGGTTCTGTCATATTCGATTCTGTAGCAAATATCATCAAAAATGTTAAAAATAATTTGAAGACCATCTTTTGTTTTCCCATATACAGAGCCATTGTAATAGTATGCTACATCAATGTCTTTATGGTGCCATAGTCCTTTCAGTAGACCTCTATTTTTAATTGTAATGTCATCATACAATTTCACATTGTTCTTCAATTGTTTCTTTTTTTCTCATAATTGTTGTTTTAACCTCACTGTTCACCACTTTATCAATTACTGGTGGTACTCCAGGTGTGTACAAACTCAGCCTGTGTATTGTCACTATATCTCTCCAGCTTTAAATTGAGGTCATCTTTCACTGTTTTCAAGAAATACTTTCTAAGATTTTTACCATTTTCTGTCTGATAGTTTACCATTTTGATGTTTGCTCGTTGTAATTCGCCATTGACAATGCTGCATACGATTTGTTCATAGTATCCTCCATTTCTATTGATATACTATTTAATATAATCTTTTGTTCCTGTAACTGATTACTTAAAGTATAATTTTGGGATTTCAGTAGCTGGATTTCTGTGTTTTGTTTATTAGTTATTTCTGTTACTTTGTCATTGACTTCTTTTTTAATCTCATTTTTCAGAGTTCCTAAAACTTTTTCTACAATATTTGTAACTATCTGTTCAATGTCTGATTATTTAATAAGATTTTTCAAGGCTTTAGTTAAACCATCTTTTTTTATGTTATCATACAAAGCACTTTTTATTTCCCACAGATCTGTACTAATACCACTAAAATATGTGCTGAGATTCATACTATTGTCACTTTCTTCACTCTTCTCAACATCAGACAATGTTCTTTTAGGTTGTTTTGATGCCTTCTCACCAGATGTTTCCTTTCCTTCTGTGTGGTCTTTATTCTCTTTTTTCTCTTTGTTGGTTAAATCCAAATGAAAAATTTGCAGGAATAATTTAACTAAATCTTGAATTCTTGTATGAAGAGGATCATCACTATATAATTTTCCAATAGCAACAATGCATAGAATCACTTCAAAAACATCAAAAATAAGGAGCTGTACTTAATGTGTCTTACTCTTGGCAGCCATGTTTTACCATTTTTGCTCTTTGTTTGTTCACACATTGTTGTCAATATAATGGAATTCTATGCGACTGTCATACAAGTGAGAGTTTTCACTAGCTATAAAACCAGGTTTAATCCATCATTTTCTACATAAGGAAATGTCTGTTCGAAGTCAGAAATATAACAGTTGTTTTCCATTCGTTTGATGTGTTTGAGCTTTTGATTTTGCCATTTGATAAGGGACATTCCGTTTTAAATTTTCTTTGGAATTCGGTATTTTGGATATTTTACTTTTTAAGTAAAAAAGAGATAGAGGTAAATCATGTGTAGCAGCTGAACCACTAAATGTATTATATTACAGGCAATGAACGCCTGTATTGAAGCTGGATTTCCAAGTATGAAAGTAAAACCTCTACAAGAATCACAGAAAATGCAGATTATCACCGATTATTTGGAAGGAATTTACGGAAAATCATTGACTACGGAACAAAAAGAAATGATTATCAATGTAAAACAGACATCAAATCCACTTTACCTGAAATCTCTCTTGGACGAGGTAGTATTTTTTGATCATTTCGAGACTAAAATTACCAGCTTTTTACAATACATGACAGATATTTCTCGGTTTTGTGGAACGTTATCCATATTGTCCTATATGTAACTTGTAAGTTTCACCTAAGTACAAATGTTTATAATAAAGTATTCACGAAAATACCGAACTCTGAGGTCAATCAAAAAATATATCAAACTCTCAGGTAAATTAAAAAAAAAATTTGAATTTAATTTCACCAAACTATCAAGTCTACAACTGTTTTTTATTGTAACAAACTGGACACAGACATATGATTAATAATATCAAACGAGAAATACTTAAACCATGACAATTTCAGTTTTGAAAAGCTAAAATTCTCAATTTCTTAAATCTGATATAAAGGAGTCGTACTGTACATTTAGAAAATTATTAAACAAGGACTGATATATTGAGTTACGTTTTATAGGTCCGTATGTTTGGATCATTCAGAACACTGACAAACAAAATTTCCGAGTATTTATCTGCTGAAAGTCCACAGGATCTTTTTGCCAAAATCCTTGAAAGATTGGAAGAGGAATTCGAGAAGGGACAAACTCCAAGGTATTTTAGTTAATTGATATGAACCTGTAAATAAATGGTTATGCATCAGGGTTTCATTTAGACATCATTGATGTGTTTTCGTTGATGCTCGATCGAAAAGTTTTAGAGAACCTATTGATTTTTCAATTTCTTCATCATTGTCTCTTAATTTGTCTTTTCATGTCTGCATTCTGTTAATGTTATTATTTATTAGTTGGTATTGGCTTTCAACAAGCTTTCAGTAATTGCGAGTACTGTACGATTTGTGTTTTAAGCCATTTTAAACTGATGTTGAAAGTCTGCTCTTCTAATGCTGTTACACCATTGTCCGTGGTAAGGGGCTCGTTGAGAGCTCACAATCATGTTTAATCCCACTACATTCTATATTTGCATGTTCCCAGTTAGGATAATGAAACTCGTTGTTGTTGGTTGCTGTGATATTTGTTTTTTTTTTTTTGTTAATTGTTTTGTTGTTGAGCTGCGACTTCTGAAAGCTCGACATAGGGATAGTGATCCGGCGGCGGCCACGGTTGCGTTAGCTAACTACTTAAAAGCATTATACTTTAGAAGGTGGAAGACCTGAATGCTTCATACTTTGTATATAGATGTCTTATGTTATGAAATTTCCGTCTGTCATATGTCCATTGTCCTTGACCTCATTTACATAGCTACTTGAAAAAAAAGTTAAGATTTTTTGTAATGCTAATTTCTCTCTTATTATGAGCAATAGGATATATATATTTAGTATGCGCGTACCTTGCAGGGTCCTCATGTCTGTCAGACAGTTTTCCTTTAACCTCGACCTCATTCCATGGATCAGTGATCATGGTTATGTTTTCGTGGTCAAGTCTATATCTCAGATACTGTAAGCAATAGGTCAACTATATTTTGTGTATGGAATGATTGTAAGGGATACATGTCTAACTGGCAGGTTTCATCTGACCTTGACCTCATTTTCATGGTTCAATGAGTAAAGTTAAGATTTTGTATTTTGGTCTTTTTTTCTTCTAATACTATATGCAATAGGTCAATAGATATAAAAAGATGTGGTATGAGTGCCAATGAGACAAATCTCCTCCAAGTCACAATTTATAAAAGTAGACTATTATAGGTCAAAGTACGGTCTTTAACACGGAGCCTTGGCTCACACCGCACAGCAAGCTATAAAGGGCCCCAAAAATTACTAGTGTAAAACCATTCAAACGGGAAAACCAACGGTCTAATCTATATAAAAAACGAGAAACGAGAAACACTTATGAACCACATAAACAAACGACGACTACTGAACATCAGAGTCCTGACTTAGGACAGGTGCAAACAATTGCAGCGGGTTTAAGTTGAAACGTTTTTATGGTACCAAACCTTCACCCTTATCTGAAACAATAGTTTAACATCACAACATAGAAAGACACACTTTAAAATATCAATTGAAATGGCTTAACTAAATCAAAAGATATATTAACACATGTGAACATACACTGAACGAATAATACAATGTAAATACAAAATCAATAAAATAAGGGATGAATAATTAAAGGTCAACTATATTTGGTGTATGGAAATATCTTACGATGTACATGTCAGTTTTGCAGATTTTTTTAGACCTCGATCTCGTTTTCACGGTCCATTGAGTTAAGTTTTTATGTTTTGGTTTGTTTTCCTTAAACTATAAGCAATAGGTCAACTGTATTTGGTGTATGAAATAATTGTAAAGTGTACATGTCTGTCTGGCATGGTTCATCTGACCATGACCTCATTTTCATATGTCATTGGTCAATGTTAAGTTTTTAGGGTTAAGTAAGTCTCTATGAAACAATAAGCAATAGGTCAACTATATTTTGTGTATGGAATGATTGTAAGGTGTACATGTATTTCCGGTTTGGTTTCTCTGATCTTGACCTCATTTTTTTGGATCATGTTAAGTTTATATGATACTTGTAATAAAGCTTTATATTAAGGACTATCAAAATAAAAGCAATGGTCAGTAAAGCAGGTGAGACATTTTAGCGTGTGCAATCTTGTCTTAAAATTAGGCCGATATTTTTTTTCGCTTGTTTCACCCTTTTCATATATATATTTTATATACATTCTAATAGAATGTAAGGATGTGTGCATAAATATATTTGAGTAAAACTATTAAAGACTACTATGCACATTATCGGGACATTGTCCCTTATCCCTTGTCTTTGATTGTTATGAAAGCTGATACACTATTTGAAACAGTTCAGTTTTTTAATCTACATTTCCTTGTTTTACAGAAAAGATGTTGTACAAACTTAAACACATTATTTGACACAGTTCAACTTTCTAATTTTCTTTTACTTGTTTTACAGAAAAGATCTTGTGCGTGATGCTACCACTGCTTTGTGGTGCTCCAACAGAGGAATGTCCGAGTCAGAGCTGGTTGAATTGTTAGATGTAAGTAACATTGCATGGCTTAACAATGCCAGAACTCAAATAATTGTATCTTTTTCATAACTACATCATATTTTTACTAATTACATAATTTTAAGATATCTTTTCATTGTTTTACAAATTTCAAACATCCTTCACCACAAAAATCTTCCTTAAAGCATAAAATGATTTAAACTTAATGAGGTATTACTGGAACCAATGTGATGGCTTCAGTTATGACATCTACATTTTTTTGCAGTGCAGAACAATCTTATTAAGTAAATAAATTTGATATGTCATTGAATTGTAGATACCAAGTGCTGTTTGGTCTCCATTCTACATATCCTTATATGAGAACTTGGTTAATAGGAATGGCATCTTAAATTTCTTCCACGATCATCTACGACAGGCTGTAGAAAGGAAGTACATCCCTACAAGTGAAGCTAAAGTCAAAGGTTATATGTGTCTCGCTGATTTCCATGCAGCTAAGGAAACCAGCGACAGAACTGTAAGTGTTTGCTTTTACAGTCTTTATTAAGAAAAATGTCAAAATTATCGTGCAGCGCAGGAACATAAACAAATTTTAACGAGATTTAAAAACAGAGAGAAAAGCAGGGCTCGCCGAGAACAAATACATTTATATTTTCTTTCACTGAACGAATATTGTTTGTATCCTTCAATTTGTAGTTAAACGTATAGTTTCTTTTTTCATCCAAATTGTTGAAATTATTTTTGAATGAAATTGACCTGACTAAATCGCGGACCGCGATGAGCACCCCAAATTGAAGTTTTGTGTAAACATAACCGTTCGTTCGCAAAAGAAGCAAGATGCCGGGAGACTATTAATGTATACCTCACGTTTATCGCTTCATGTTATCCATCAATCTGTATTTATTTGGTAGAAAAATTGATTGCAGGATAGAACAAATAAATAAATTCATCTTATCTCTTATGAACTTCAAGGAATATCATTGGTTGAAAGCGAACACGTGGGGACCCTGTGTATTTGATTAGAGTTAGTTGGCGTGTTTTATTTTAATATACGGTTAGTAGTGGTGTTATGTCCCTTAAAAAAGCACGGCGTTGAGGAAAAATCTGAAACGATTTCCCCGGAAAAACAGATGAAGAAATTGATGATGAACGATTGAAAATAAATGCAGGAAACATATTAAAACTAACAAGTTGTTATTGTTGGCATTTTGTTTTATATAGACCTATGGAATTATGTTGTTAATATTGAAGCCTTGGTCACTTTGATAGGTACTAGTTTAAATGACACATTTGAAGATAGTCGGTAAGGTAATTTTGTTACAACGTGTGACCTAATACGATATATATGGGGTCAATAAATTCCATATGGGGTGAGAGCTTTTTAATGGTGTAGCACCAATCGTAAAATATCTTCCAGGTAGAAGAATTGCCTTTCTTGCTGACCAAAGCTGGACAATTGGACAGACTTAAAGAAACAATTACAGATCTGGAAGTCTTCTATAGATTATCGGACAATGAGGATGGAATTTTTGAATTGATCAAAGCTTGGAAAACGGTAATTGAAATATAAGAACTGAAATGCACGTCCTGCTATTGCGTACTGAGCGCATTTAACTTTTGGACTTTTATTATATGATTTTAAATAGAGAATAGGGCTACAAATGTTTAGAATGTACGTGAAAACCGGTTAAAAATATGTCGGTTTTGTTTTCTTTGAATATAGATTTCTCTAATTAATCCTAGTCACCTGATCCGGTTTTTCAGTTAAAATAAATTTGTCTCAATTTGAGTGACAAAAGGGTCAAAACCACAAAATCATGACGGCGTCACACTGCAAAATCGTAGATTTGCATGGGTTTTTTTTTCATACACCTCTCATACATAAAATACACACCAAAAAAGAATCCAATGACCCAATCGTAGTTCCAGATCGTTTAAACGAAACGTTTTCATCAATAACATGACTTTCAAACACTTATATGTGGGCAGATTTTTCAAAATCGCAATTTAAAGGGAAAGATGCAAGTTTTTAAAGCTTTTTTTAAGAACTAGTTCTTATTTTCATCAAAATAAAAGATACGACCAAATTACGTATACTTTTCAAAAGTTAAAAAGCAAAAGAAAAACCCCAAAGATGATCAGCAGTAAAATTGATATATAGAATTCCTGTAAGTTCTGGAAAAACATTCAATAGGTACACACGACAAAAAAAGATTGGAATTAAATATCATAAATAAAGGCAACAGTAGAATACCGGTTTTCAAAAGTCATAAATCGATTGAGAGAAACCAAATCCGGGTTACAAACTAAAATTAAGGGAAACACATCAACTATAAGTGGAAAACAGAGGAACAACAGGAACACTGAAGTGCAACAATAACAAACGCCAACATACATAGAAACGAACTATTTGAAAACAACTGCCATATTCCTGACTTAGTACAGGATATTTTTTGGAAAAAATGGTTGATTTAACCAGGTTTTATGGCTAGCCAAATCTCCTGCTTATATGACAATGTAAAAACATTTCGCTAAAATGACAACACTACGTGACAGAAATACAGCAGAAACACACGCAAGAACACTCATCACAGAGAAACGCACAAACAAATAATATAATAGTCGACACAACATGCAAACCGCAAAACAACAACGAACATCTTCCATCAACGACAGACTTCACAGGACATCACAAACAGTGATGCTCTTACGTAACGAACATGCAGTCTCGAACTTTATACAATTATTTTCACAATACCAGTCCAAACAAGTTTTATGACAATGATGGTATTGTAAGGCTGTTTTATAATTATTTGGACTACAAACGATAAGACATAACACATTATCCAACCGAAACCATAACAGAAACATCAAAAATAAATACATGAATGTTGGATGTACAAAATACCGAGACACGTCGTATAGCAATGCAAATTCACACTCGGTATAACAGTCATATTCAGAAAATATATGTGGAGTGTACTTATTGAATGTTATCGAACGTAAATGTAATTTCATGTAGAAAATGAAGTACCATAAAAATCAAAAACCCCAAAATGCATCATCTAAACAAGTCTGGCAGATTTATTTAATAATAATAAACTAATCGTTTGATTTCCAGCTTGGTGGATTCGATTTGTCAGAAGAAGCATACATGTCAAAGGTACAAAAGATACCCAAAGAGGATATATTGCAAAATTCTTCATACTTCTGCAAATTGTACAGGTAAAGAAGATACAATTGTAATAGTAGGACGTGGAATCAAGAAAATATATTCGATTATATACATTCAATGTGTAACTTGTCTAATCAAATAATGAAATACTTAAATATCCAACTGAATGTCGAAGGTAAATATTATTTGACTTTGCATTTATTTGTCATTCAATTACATACGTGAACAATCGTAATGTACATATCTAAATGATTGCAGACGACATAAATTAAGACAGTTTCATTATGTGTAAGAAAGATTGAAATCAACACTACACAAGTGTAACAGTCACCATTATGCATTGTTTGTGTACACGCGTCCCAAACATTACAATATTCATTGAGTCTGGACTCGCATAGAGATTGATACAGGAGACGCTTATTCTGCTGAGTCTTGCCACATCCGGTTTCGCTTCATATAGATTTTATTTTTTTCTCTGCGTTTTTATGCTCCGCCGTAGGCAACGGGGCATTACGTATATATATATATATATCTATATATTTATTGAGCAACTATCCCTTTTTCATCGGGGGCCAACACTAGCGGGGAATTGGTGTTTGTGTCATACAAACTATACATTATATACACTGCACGTAAGAAATCGCATTATTATGAAATTGAAAGTGTCAATATAATAGTAATAAAAGTATTTCTGTTAAAATCCAACCGTTGACAATTAACATTTCAAAAAAGGAATGAAAGAAACCTTAAAAGATCAGTGCGATATCTTGCATATTATTAAAAGAGTACACATATGTTTTCACTTTTTCTTAAAATACACATTCACATAAAATTTGCACACTTTCAAACTTTCATACTTATAAATTAATTTATACATTAACATGTTACTACTCATTGCGAGCTTTACTGACTAAGTTCAAATATTTTTTGCCCACTTCATCAACCTTCTTTCTGATATCATCACTGAACAAAAAGGCTATGTCGCCAATGATGTAGATTATTAAAACCAGACAACTGTGATAAAAACACGCCAATTCCTGCATTGAGAAGAAAGTCGTGTAAATCGCAAAAGAAGCGTTCTCGAATATCATTATATGCCTGACATGCCAACAATACATACATAACAAATATTTCAATACCACTTGTTTGACATGTATAACTGTCTTTCAACTTCATGCAGAATAAGACAGCATTCAATGGAAGACATTTTGTTCTAGTCAGAAACTTAAGACAAGAGGACAACAAATCATCTACGTTTGTTAAAAACGGCTGTAATGCTTATGTAATGTAAAATGAACGGTATTCATCGAGGCTTCGCTTTTCAGGGATTTCGGACTGAAGCTTATTACAAGATTCTATACTAAAAAAATAATTAAAAGCTTTTATATTAACTTTCCCATGTATATAATGGTCCAGTCCAGTGAACTGGAATATGCGGTTAATATAATTAAAATATTATTTTTTTTTATCATTTAAGATCGTTAAATAGTTATCATTGACCGCCCGTCCTTCCGTCTTTCCGTCCGTCCCATTTTTGTTTCTGCACTCTAAATTAAGTTTTTCTCATCATTATTTTATAAGACTCCTACACAAAGCTGAGAACCAAAACTCGCAAACAGAGTTCGCAATTGGGCAGTGAGTCACTTACTGTTTTAGAGTTATGGCCCTAAATAACTTGGCAAATTGCAATTTTTTTTTATTTCCTCACTCAACTTAAGTTTTTCTCGTCCAAATTTTATGGAACTTATACACAATGCTAAGATTTAAAACTCGCAGACAAAATGCGAATTTGGGCAGTGAGTGACTACCTTTTAGAGTGATGGCCATTTATTACTTGGAAAATTGCAATTTTGTTTTATAGTTTCCACACTCTGAGTTTACATTTTGGCAGTATTTCATTAACCGTTCTAGAGTACGCACTTTAACTTAAGTTTATCTCATACAAAATTTAAAAAAACAACATATATATGTTTCAACAAACATCAACACTGAAAAAGCTTCGGAAAAATAAACTCCCACAAAACCAGTGGAAACATGAGATGCTGTAGAATTTGTTGGCATGCAGCGGTCATTTTAATAGTTTATACCAAGGATACAAAGGCCATTTTGAAAGTGATAAAATTATAATTGAGTTTATTTAGATACTTGATCGAATTGACCATTCTTTTAACAGTCGATTGGGAAATTTCTTTTTGATCATTGGAATCATGGAAGCAGCAAAAAAGATTTTCAAAACACTGATTAAACAGTTGGAGCTGAACTATGGTGAATCTCATGGGACTGTGGTGTACAATGTACATGACCATACTTGGAAATATCGCTGTAAACACCCAGATGTTATTAAGGTATTTCTATTTAAAAAGTATATTCATTTATTTCTTTTTCAACCATATTCTAATTTAGAAATATCAACCAACAAAGCTTTTAAAGCAGCGTAATTCTAAATCTATGTTTGGCTGTGTCTTGTCTTATAACATTTCATGGTCACGATTTTACTGCACTAGATTGTTTTTCGAAATATATTGTATCTTTAGTGATGCTCGATGCCAAATTATTTGTAAAGAATAAGAATAAGAATATTTATTGAATCCAATTAAAGGGTTTCCGAGCATATACATATATATATATAGTATTAATTATACAGTAATTTTTAAGATGTATCACCTTAAAAATAAATGATTAAATAACTATACTCCATACCAGATGGTGTTTGAAAATAAATAAAATAGACTATTAACTCTCTCTAATACATTAAAAAATAAATAAACTACATCACTACTACATTTATTATTAGTTAGTTACTGGAATGCAAATTTTCTCTTATTTCAAAACAAGTACTTATAAATCTTGACACTGACATATTAACATTTTCAGACTCACATGACATTAACCAAATAAATTGTTCATACTTTGAAATAAAAGGGAAGTTTTTACATTGAATGCGTGCTTCATTAAGAATAAAATTCCGTTCCTTTTCATATGCAGTGCATTCCATTAAAAAATGAAACTCGTCTTCAACCTGCATATTTTTACACTGCCAACAAAATCTTTTATCTTTATCGATTTTTTTTTATATCTACCTTTCTCAATAGCTAACTGATGAGCACTGATTCTAAATTGAGTTAAGCTTTTTCGATACTGAAATTTATTAACTTGACATAAATATGTTTCTCTTTTGAAGATGTTTTTAAATTTAAAATAAGTACGCAATTTTCCTTTTTTAACATTTGCATTATCTTCTATAGTATTTTTCCAGTAAATCCTGTATCTACTAATCAAATTGTTAATGCAAATTGTAGAACAGACTTTGAAGAGCTAATAGAACCGAAAACAGCTAAAAGTATAGGAAACCTGGCTAAGTTGTATTCTAAGAAGACGATTTAAAGAATGTAAATTGCTCTTGCACTTTTGACAAAAGCTTTTGACAAAGCTTCATTCCATAATAAACGTCAAAAATCTTTAAACGCAGATTCGTAACCTTTCAGTTACTGTTTCTTGTATACTTAGAATTAGGTTGTAAACATGATCTTTGGTTTCTTATTTCTTGATGTAAAAAAAAATGTATGAAACTGATTTCCCTGTTTTCAGAATAAAATTATATAAATGTTAACTTATATGTCATTTAGATTTGATCTCTGGTGGAGAGTTGTCTTATTGTTATTATTAACTCAGATATGTTTGATATTAAAATAAATTTAGAAAGCCACAACTTCAAAAGTTTAAAAAAAACAGAAACATTGTCTGTCAGCAATTAATACATAAAAGTTATTCACTGGAATTTACTTTTATTGTGAGGAAATTTTAATCCCTTTTCTTCTTCTAGTTTTGTTGTAGACCTAGCTTAGAAAGATATGTTGAATTATGTTATTGCCTAAAATCTGTTAAAAACAGAAATGGAAAACGCCAATGATGACATATTCATAAGTTCTTGTATAATAAATAGATTAAGAAGATCTTACACTTTGTAACTGTTTCTATATATTTGTCTAAGATTTTTTCTGTTTGAAACAAAAGATTACCTCCATTTTTTATAGGGATTACATGAACTTGGAACTGTGTACAGCAAACTTGGCGAGTATGATAAGGCGGTAAGAGTATACATTGATGCCATAAATCGCCAGAACAGGGTTACAACACCAACACAAAAACTACAGGTATGTAAATGAAAACAACAGATAATAAATGTGTTGCGTCCAAACCGAGTTTCTGAATTTAACTTCATCAGGAACGGACAATCTTTAAAATTTGAGAATTTTGATACAGAATGAGCTAATGATCAAAATGAACCTTAAAGAATAGCCAAATCCATCTAAGATTAACTCCGCTTAAAGGAGTTAGAACCTGAATTTCTCAAAATGTTAAAGTTTTATCAAAGGCGAATTTGAGAAAGATATGTTTTAAATTATACCAGCACCTTAGCACTAACTACAGAGCCGATTTAACGTAAACAGATAGAATAATTTAAAAGCGTTTAACTTTCAAGAAACGAAATAAAAGATTATGATAGGTATTTCATATACTGGTGTCAGACCACCAGTTTAAAATCTCTATATATTCAACCAAATTTTGCAATTTTCACAGCTTTCTATATATATATGTATATCTTTATATATATCTTTATTTCTCAATAAACCATTTACATCGGAATGGTACAGAGAACATATTTTATTGTTTAACTTCATGGAAACCATGTATATCCTGAATCATACATGTATCACCTTTCTACATGCCAATTTTCAACCTATGCTTAAAGTCTTGTAACGAAGAACTACCGTTCGGAAGCCAAATACTACTAAAAATAACCCCTGGTTTTCTGTAAATCTTAAATTAGTATACTATGAATAAATACCCACCTGTTAATGCAAACTCATAGACAGGTAAATTTTATCTCAAAATGTTCTTAAGACTAAAAATATTTCTCTTTCACCAAAAGTTTCATTTCTGCAAATTTGTTGTTAAGTTTAAGTATACAATGACATCAAAAGCACTACTTTATGTCATGAAAGGGCTACTTTTTCATGTGTTCTAAATTGGAGAAAGTGAATTGGTGGTCTGACGCCTACTGGCTGACTAAAAAGACGTGAACTGACAAAGATAGACACCCATTCATCCATACAACGTGAACTGGCCAGGGAGTTTTTTTTTAAGGGTAATATTCCTTTATTTCATGTTACATTTATTTGCAGATTATAAAGTGCATCCTTTTTGTTCTTTATATACTGTACCTGTTATTATCCTTATCATTTATATTTATTTATAATCTATGTTCACTGACTATTTCTTGATTATTTGTTAAACACATATGTTTAATACATATTTAAGATCGAAAGCAGCTTTTGAAAAATGATAACTTGTTATGATATTATGAAAGAGGGGCGAAAGGTACCAAAGGGACATTCAAATTTGCTACCTTTTCTGAGTATATATACTAAGGTAACTTGGACTTGAAATTGATGCATCCTTGATATTAAATGATAGGTTTATATAGCTTAATTTTTCTTTTTAATAGTTGTGTGAGGGGTTGCTTGGTTTATCGTCAGTATACATTCAGAAAGAAGACATGTTAGAAGCTAAGAAACTAATGTTGAGAGCATTAGAATTAGCGACATTTGTATTAGGAAAGAAACATAATTTTGTAGCGGCCATTTTCACAAGGGTACGTATCTGACGAGTTTTAAATGCTACTTATTATACACCCATGGAAAATTATTGAAATATTAGTATGGCATGACATACTCAATTTCTTAGAAATTATCACATACTTGAATAACAAAAAAATGCTTCATTTTGCAAAGGTAATCCAATCGGAAGTAAGCAGATAATATCAGTATACCAGGCTGCTTAGTCTTAATTAAGAACTCCTCGTGCGATCTGGACTGATAAGCATTTAGCACGACCCGGGCTGATCATATGAAAAATGACTCGCTAATTTATTAACTTTGTGGATGGGGATAGTAAAAATTTGTTGATGTTAAAAAAAATCGAAAATTTGTAAACATCTTTTCGTGCTAGAGGTTTTCAAAAAGATTGATAGATCAGTTTATTACTATGCTATTCCAAATAGATTATCGATGTGGAATTTGCAGTAAAAAATTAATTTTGTTGTAAAATAACAATTTAAAAAAATAACATCTTTTTGTGTCAAGATTCCATAAAAATTTATATATAAGTACAATAAGATATTACTACTTGATTCACTATTTCAAAAATTGTCCGTTGGCTACTTTTTTTGAAATGGTAGCCAAAATACATAAAAAATGCAGCAAGCTAGAACATATCCTGAAGTATTTAACGGAAGTTGATTCTCTATGTGTTGCTTTGTTTGCATCAGTATTTATTATTATTTGTGTGTCTCACATAAATAACTACAATCGGGTTCTTTCCCGACGTGTCAGATTTCTTTTTCGTTTATGTTTTTGGGGGGCTTACGAAGGTGGATTCGGGGGTTGGGAGGGGCAGGGTCCCCTTATGGAGCTTCAAATAGGATATATACATAGACTTTTTACAAGTTTCACTCCAAATGTTGGCTTGCCAGCCCCGCCTACTTTTCAAAACCCTGGATCCGCGGTCTAAGGTGTTATTGTTTGTTTATCTTTTCGTTCTTATTTTGTATGTTTTTTAATTATTTCTTGGTTATTTTTGTTTTATTTTTATTCATTTCAGCCTGAAATCAATTTGATAGTCTCTTTATTCTACACTTGTTCTGTTAGGGGACAATGCTGTTCGGTGTGAGCCAATGCTCCGTGTTGAAGGCCGTACCTTGACCTATAATGGTTTACTTTTATAAATTGCAACTTGGATGGAGAGTTGTCTCATTGGCACTCATACCACATCTTCCTATATCTAGACATAGGGTTAGGATTTTTGTATCTTGTATGCATATCTATTGCAATACCATGTGTACTGACAGGCAATGATATAGTGTAAATTTTGCAACAAAAACACCATTTGATATCAAATATTTTTTTTAGAAAGCAAGACATTAGAGCTTCCAGTTATTTTATTAAGGCTGAAAAGTAACATATTTAATTTCTTTGTCCATTTAGAACACTTGTGTATGCATGATTGCTCTGTTTTCAAGATGAGACATTCCGTAAATGATATATAATTTCCGATTACCATACTTGATTAAAGTTTCTTCAATTTAATAAACACCAAAGAGTGCTTTTAAATATCGCTATTCTAATCCTTATCTTTATACAATGGGGGCATGATGCGCATCGGTGACCGAGTGGTCCTACAAATTCATCTACAGCGATCGATAGCTTGTCAACACCGATTTTGTGAGTTCGAACCCCGCTCGTGGCAGATGCATTTGACTCCGATCTTAATTGACTCGGATTGTCAGTTTTCCTACCGAAAATCGGTGGTTTTCTCTGGACACGCCGGTTTCCTCCGCTAATAAAAACCTACCGCCACGATATAGCCAAGAGTGCACGAAGTGGCGTTTAACACCAACAATCAACCAATCAATCTTTATACAAAAAAAATATTTGTTAACATTTCATATCATTTCATTTTTGCACATTTATTCTGTGGTTATCTGCAAGAGCGCTAATGATTAATATCTGCCTTTTAAAAAAAAGCAACATGTCCAATATCTTCATAGAGTTGTTTCCTATTTTTACAATTATTAGACCTTTTGTGTTTCTCACTGAAACCCATTAGTGTTATTGACCCTTTAATGCAATCCATTTATTAAAATAACTTTATTTTATTATGATATAACAGCTTGGCCAACTTTCCTACAAACAAGGCCGTGTAGACGAAGCATTGGCCTATTGTCTACATGATCTGAAGGTGACGAGAAGCGAGGTCGGTACCAATCATCCACGCACTGCCATTGTTCTTAATGAAATTGGGCTAATTTACGATGATAAGAATGACATCATGGCACCACAGCTTTATGAAGCCGCTTTATCAATTTTTCTGGAAACCTACGGCAAAAATTTCCTCGGAACTGGAACAATACGGTATGCAATGAATTTTTATTATTTTTATACAATTTTTCACACTGTCCCAAAAAATGTAGATAGCATACCATCGGTATGGCAAGCTGTTTTACTATTTATTCATACTTCAAGATATCTCATATAATAGTTTTCATAAGATATCTTATATCTTATATGAGATATATGATATCTTATATATTATTTATTGATGTTTTTAAAATTACCGAAATGAATTGTTATACTAAAAAAATAATATTTGTGAAATGTGACCATTCATGTTGTAAATTTAAAATATATGTATGCTTTATTTATATTTGCTTGTGACAAGTGCTTTGATATTTTGTTGCTTTTTGGTTTTTTATCTTTATTTAATTATATATGTATTTGTTTACATGATTAATGGAGAAGAAATCTGTGTGTGCCAAATAATGCGTCCTTTTGTGCCACAAGGTTTTAGAAAACCTAGTATCATTTGTGCCAAAAATGTAGTTTTACGCCTATTCGTCGATACAATATTAACTTTAATTTTACACTATACAACTAAAAGCTGTTTAAAAAAAACAACTAAAAATCGAAATGAAAGCAAGTGACGGCACCATTTGAATGTACCATTAACAAATACATCTGATGCGTTCCAACAGAAAACTTTCAAAGAATTTCAAAATCAACAATCATATTCATTCTAAATAAACAACTTCTGTATGCAACAATACTCCAATCATGTTCTATAATTTGTTATAGACAAAGATAACTTTCAGGTTAATAATTGATAGTTCGTTGCTTAATGTTCAGTGGTAAATATTGTATGCACGTTCATGACCTGAACAAATTAACAATACATTCAATAGGAAGGTTCTGTAATAGGGGGTGGAATAGTTGCAAGCTCTCTCTCTCTCTCCACAAGTGACTTAACTTGGCTGCGAATTTATACTTCGTACAACCAAACGACGCCCACTTTTGCAAGTATTTTACTGCAGGTCTGGAGAAAACCAAGAGTAACCATGTTTCTATTCTCCAGTCATCTGTGGGTCTCCTTAATATAATTATCTTTAACATGCTTTCAACAACTTCAAGAGTTGAACCCTTTTTTCCCTATCTTTAAACAACAACAAAAAAAATCTTTCCAAACCGAAAAAAGTATTCATTGCAAACAGAAACATAGTCTTATTACCTTGAGATATAGGGATAAATCCGTTTGCGCTAAAAATGCGTCATTTGCGCCACAACTCATTTGCGTCAATGCTACGTTTGCGCCACTAGTTTTTAAAATGACTAGCATCATATGCGCCAAAAATAAAGTAAACGATTGCGTAATTGTTTTTAAAATGATAACAAAACATAAAACTATTTTCAGTCCAACAACATAATCATACTAAAGCCTGAGACTTGTAACTTGAGACCCTCCAACAATCTCTACAAATGACTTCTCCGCATGTGTAATTCTGATATCTATCAACGGCTTATGTTTCCTTTTATGAGCTATATGATTTCACTTAACTACTGCTGCATTAGAATTTTGCAATTAAAAGAAAGTAGAGACTTGAAGATTTACGATATTGCCCCAAAAAATAAATGTAGATGAATCCGATTGAAAAAAAAACCAGTCAATTGCAGTACTTATGAAATGCCTCATGGTTCATTGTTGGTGAGAATCGGGGTTGGTGTGAGAGTCGGGGTTGATGAAGTTTCAGTCCCTACGGATGGTGGAAACAAATAGTTGTCATCAAAATATGTGGATAACAGATAATCAGATAACAAATCTACTTTCTCAAATTTTGGAATATCTTGCAACAAAAGTCCCTAGTTCCATAAACTATTCCTTTTATGGTACCATAATTTATTCAGGAGTATCATTTAAAATAAATATTAGTACAGATTAATTTGCGCAAATGAATTCCGTAAATTGGCGCAATTGATACCTTTCAAAAATAGTATATGGCGCAAATGATACATCTTGAAAATAGCAATTGGCGCAAAAGGACTGCTACCGAAATATAATTGGAAGGCTAAGCTTCCCTGCACAATTATAATTACTGTTTGTTTTAACTGTATTTAATTTTAATCAGACAATATTCTTTATATGCCTACATATTTTACCTGTATTTTGTCGGCACATCACAGGATGCAGGCATTCAAGGAATAAACCACATGTACCACGGTGACTGCAAACTTAGGCTTTCATCATTTGGTTAAAAGCGACCCGGTATATTAATATGGGGTTAGTGGTGGTGTTTAGGAAACATCTGAAACATTTCGCCCGGACAACAGATGAAAAAAAAATTATGATGAAAGATTGGAAATAAATTCAAAAAACACATTAAAGCTAACACGTGTTATTGTTGGCATTTGTTTTTGTATGGAAGTAGCGGTTCTTAATAATGAAGACTTGATCACTTTGATAGGCCACTAGAATAAATACCACATGTTTAGTTACACAGGGACGTGTGAAAAAATGGATATCATCCGTCATGCACCTTATATCAATATTATTAGTTACACCATGGAAGTAATATTTAAATATTACTTCCATGGTTACACAGTGTGCTAGTGACTTAATACAATATATATGGGGTCATTAAATTCCATATGAGGTTCGCTCTCACCCCATATAGAATTTTCTGGCCCATATATATCGTATTATGTCACTAGCACACTGTGTAACCATGGAAGTAATATTTAAATGGTGTAACTAATAATATTGATATGAGGTGACGGATGATATCCATTTTTTCACACGTCCCTTTTTGTATTTCCTGATGCCCCCCCCCCCGAATAAAATAACAATAAGTTATTGGAACGGGAATTAGAATTGCATTAGTAATTATCACACAGACAGCGCATATATATTTTCATTATCACACAATTTGTAGTGACGACTGTAATAATTTCAGCTTAATAAATGTTAGAGTTTTTAATCAATTTATTTTTTGACTGAAGAGTGTGGCTATTAATTAATCTTACAATCTGTACTGAGATTAGACAATAAAAATATTAATTGCTTATATTTCCAACTTTTGTTTTAGGTACAATTTAGGAGCGTTTTATTTTGGCACAAATCATTTTGCTAAAGCCAAATACCAGTTTACCGAGTCCTACAGGGTATATGTGTTATTTCTGGGAGAGGATCATCCCGAGACCAAAGCCGTAAAGCAGGCGCTGGATGCTGTTTCCAGTATGGGATCAGACGAATAGAGTGAAATTACATGCGTGATTTAGTATTTTAACACTATGCACTATTTATTAGCGGTATCTGTATATTATATTCTACGAAAAAATCAATTGTTAATCATGAACAATCCAGTACAACATTCTTAGAAAAAAAATAAGCATCATTCTGAAGAAAATTGATTTAAAAATAATCGTTTTTACTTTTAAATGGACTTAGTTTTTGGCAGGCACCAGTACACATTAAACTGACAGCAGCAATCGCAGATTTCACGGAACCCTTTACAAATTTTTTGTTTTACCTGTATAACTTTCATTTATTTTACTAGACAAGTTTCATAGGAGTTCATATTAGTTTTGTCTTTCATTCTAGTTCTAGTCTAAAACACTTTTTCTATACTACTGCCTCATTGAGGCGAGGTATATAGTGATGCACATGTCCGTCCGTTCGTTCGACACACTTTCGGCTTCCTGATGATAATTAAAGTACCACTTGATACAATCTCATAAACCATGCACTTATTTCCCTTGAAAAAAATATTGTTTTTGTTGTTTGTTTCATTGACTATAACTAAATATACACTCGGCAAAATCTGTTTTAAATTTTAAAGGGGCACTAGCTACGAGATATATAAAAAATCTAAAATATGATTTTTTTTGTTCAATCATTAATGGAAGTGAAATAGTGCAATAATAATTCGCTTTTAGCAGCCAGTATGGTTCAGTTTTGCCAAAATAAGCTAAGAAACATTGATGATGAATTTTTCACTTGCAAGTGAATAATTCGACCTCATTGAATCCGTATTCATGTGAACTTCAATTTAACCCCTTAGCTAGAGATGGATAACGCATAAATTGTGCGTGTTAAGTTATTTAAAGGAAAAGAATGTCAACATTAAAAGTGAAACAAAAGTAAATCATTTGATTGACTGATTCGATCCACAAAACATCATTCTTATACAGGTAAAAACGATGATTAACATATATTTTTAATCTATAATATGAAATTAAACAGACATAGAAAAATCAAATTGCACGAGCTCGCAATCTGTTTATATCTATATTTATGTGTATATCGCTTATATGACCATCGGAGGTTTTCGGAGGTCAACTCGATAGTTAATTAGATGGCGTCTAGACTAAAATACACACGAAACGAAGCTACATATTATCGAGCCCATGCCCTGTAAATTGTTTATTTTAGACATTTTATAATTTGGATAAATGTTTTACATTGTTATAAATCAAATACGAGAATTTGAAGCAAATCGGTGAACATGAATTTGACAGCTAGTGCCCCTTTAACATAAGGAAATTGAACCATAAACTAAAAGTTTATCAAGAGTTATGCTCCTTGGGTTTCTATAAAACAATGTTTTTTTCGCGTTTCCTGATTATCCGAATTTGACAGAATTATTTGTACTTGTCTGAACACAATCTTGTGGACCATAATAATACAGATCAAGTTTAGTTTTGAAAGCGGACATTTACCGCCCAAGACTTAGGCTGTGGACGGGTGTATCGGTGATCACCTATGTCTAGTTTTATGATTTATTTTTCAAGGGCTACTAAACTGAATTTCAAATATTTGTAAAACAAATTATAGATGTTAACTATTTATTTGTGTTTCGTTAATTATTGAAATGTCTAATATTTTTAAAATTTGGCAATGCACAAATGAAATTATCCTTGCATTTATCATTTTAAAGCAAAGGTACAAAGCGTAAAACTAATGGTTTCATATGATAATTATGACATCTTATTGATTTTAAAATGTATATTGTATATACATAATATGCAAACTAATAATACACAATGCAGTTACATATTGTTGTTTGATCTTGTATGTTCTAATCAATGTGAAGAATGAAAGTAATGATGCAAACAGAAGCACTTTGTGGTATAAATATTACTACAAACTTTGATATTGAATGTGTATATTTCTACACTTTATATAATTATTAGTTACTTTTTATTATTTAAATATTTATATCTGTAATTTTTTTTATCATTCTAATTTATTGTGAGCCGAGTTGTAACGTAGTCAAACTTTTTGATACTCGTATAATAAAAAGCCGTCCAAGCATCTGGACATCAACATTTTGGATTCTTTTAAGCCATAAACAAATACACAGTTGTTTTATCGCACCTGGTTTGATAATGCGGGCAGACCAATATCAGTTAATTTTGAGGTCACTGTGCCAAGGTAAAAAAAGAGTTGGGTCAAAACTTTGATTCCCGTATGATATCTTTCCTGTCCGACTCCACCAAACAAAATGCCCCGTAGACCAAAAACCCTCTATTGGTTTTTAATTCGCTAAGTCAAAGTTACAGCTCAATCGGTATACTGCAAATGGGATACATCTAACAAAGTCTATCCGAATCATTTTGCAAAAAAATCCGCCGTCAAACAGGTGCTAGGGGCCGTCTTAAACTTGCAGTTAGGTAAAACAGTTTTTTTTTTTTTTTTTTTTTTTCTCAATTTGACTTTGAGATGAAGAACAGCAAAAAACGCTGTTCTTTTGCTTATTGTGTGTTTTTTCCTGTGCATGTACTGATTTTGTGTCATGGATAGATATCCCATATCCTTTGTTTTTCTATAACATTTGAGTTTGCAAATAATATCTATTGAACCATATTTTCAATCAACCTTCAAATATGCCCATTAGATAGAACAAGATCCCTTTTGATTTTGTTGTACGTAGTCAAAGATCAAGGTCATAGTGCCTATTAATAAACTGATATTTTTGTATACCGTGAAAATATCGTTTCGAGGTCAATGGTCTAAAGTCACAGTAACAAGAAATAGATAGAAATTTGGGCAACCTTTTGCTTTTGGGAAAATATATTTTGAACCGTACATCCAAACAAATTTGTTTGATGAAGTTCCTTGAGAAGAAAACAATTTTAGGTAAGACTTCATTTCTGGACAATGACTTTTGGGTCAGAAATAAGATCTCTATGATCAACGTTGAAGGCCGTACGGTGACATGTAATTGTTCACATCTTTGTCGTTGTGTATGTAGATTGTTGTCTGCTTGTTAATCGTTCCACATCTCTTTGCATTTATGTCAACAAAACTTGCACGGGAAGTAACTTTTCGGAGGAAAGACAGTCATTGAATTTGAAACAAATCAGTCGAAGGTCAAGGTCACAGCAGCTATGAATTGACATTTGACTAAATATTTGTCGTCTCTGTCAAATTCAAGGAATTTTTCTCTCTGGATACCGCATTTCAATAATTAAAATTTCAATATAAATTACCAGTAGACTTGACAGTCTTCAACGTCATAATCACGAAAATTGAACTAGATTTATGTTATAAGTCTTAGTTTAAAATGCATTTCTTATTCGTTTATAGATAATAGTGAAATATTTCTACATTTATATCTAAATTTCAGCTATAAACAACCATCAATTAACAAATATGATCTGATTAAACGTAATATACTAGGTGATGTAGGCTATTTGTCAACGGTACATCAACCAAACAACAACCAAAAAGAAAACATGAATATCATACGAACCTCCATAATAAACAAGTGTGTATATCATATATAAAGCACTAAATGTTTAGCACTGTACACAACTAAAGTAATACAAATTTACATTAATTTTATTGAGGATGAAAGACATCGTGAAAACTAATATAATCTATGATAGTTAGCCCTGCCTCTTGAATGCAGGATTTTACATAAAAATATATTTCTAAAAGCTTTGAAGGGAAAGTAGTATAATTTACAAAGTAAGACGTTTTATTTCATTGGAAAACGCATATATCAAAATAAGTGAATATTCTTTATTACGGAACTAGGAAAAGCCTATTATAGTGGATAGAATGAATTCATTATACCCAGAGGCATAGTTGAATGTTATTGTATATTTTGGTCTACTTACGGTAAGTCATAATTAAAAGATATTTATATACACAATGTTATCTCCTCCGGATATTGTTTGCATAAAATCAATTTTGCAAATAGTTATATATTTGATACATACACTTGTGGTGTCCTCAGACTTAGTAATCAACCATGCAGAAAATCAAAATCATTATCCACACAGGCATTTTAGTAGTAAATTATTGTACGATAATTATAAACATTTTTATAAATGGAAGAAAGACTAAAGTGTTTTGTTACCAATGTTAAATTGTGTTCGTTATTGGTAAGCCGACTCATGTTTTACTTCAATATTATGTAGGGGTAGACGTCAGACAGCAATCCACGAACACAAAGAAAATACCCGGGGGTCAACATACGGTCTTCAACAATAAACAATATGTTTAATGCATGACATAACGAGGAATGTGTCAAAGAGATAACAACTCGATCAAAGATCAGAAAACAGTTCAAGGCCATCAATGGGTCTTCAACGCAGCAAGAAAATCCCTCAGTTGATCTTATTAACAATTATTTCAATATACTTTTAAGTCATTTTTGATACATTTAAATCTGTTCGAAGGAGTCGAATTATCTAATAAGTGACAAAATGATATTGTAATATGTGCAGTTAATTCTACGTAACAAAAGATAATCATGGCAGGAAGTTTACATTTGATAATAGGGATTTTATCAGGATATAAGATTAAACATCATATGATTTAAGATAAACCTATATTTGTCAAATAAGATACCACCTGACATGCAAGTACAATGGCTGCACGTCTTAAGCGTAGCATTGAAGAGGATTATTTAACGTGTGCTATTTGCTTCAATATATTTACCGATCCTAGGCAGCTGTCGTGTGGACATTCTTATTGTATCCAGTGTCTAGTGGAATATTTCAAATCAACGACTGCTTCACAAGCCTGTCCAACATGTCGACAAGAAATGAATTGCCCGAAATCTACGCAGATCCAAACTTGGATTCAAACTTTACCACAAGATCTTCTTCTAATAGGAATTATCAATGCTGTGAAAAAACATGATCCTGATCAAGACAACGACGAAGCCATCAATGGCGATAATACCTTACAAGAAAAGACGGTTTGTGACAAGCACATTAAGTGTTTTGAATACTTTTGTACCGATCACCAAGACATTTTATGTAGTGAATGTGTTTCTGAACTTCATGAAAAGTGTGTGTATTCTCCGGTATCTGAATTACAACTGAAAGCTTTATCTACACTAAATAAAATTGATTCACATATCGTTAGAAATTTAAAATATATGTCGGAAATTGAACAGAAAGGGATTTTGAATTTAGTTTCGTATCAGAAGAAAAAAGATGAAACATTGGTTATTCTTTCCTCACTTCGTAAACAATTCGAGACGTTTTCTTCGTTGATTTTGACTGATATTAAAACAAAAGAAACCAATCTTAATTGGCCTGAAGTTGACATGAAATCAGCATTGAAAGCTATCGGAATACATCGCTCACATTTAGAACAGTTTAGAGCTGATTTAGTTGCTATAACTCAAGAAATAAACGTTGCCAAAAAGCAAAAAGCGGTTTTGGAGATACAGAGAACCGCTGATTCGTTGCTTAACAATGCTGGAATTAACTACTCTTGTTTTAGAGATTACAAAATATCATTTGAATCGAATGATATGCTGATATCGTCCATATCAGAGGTAAAAGAAGCTGCTAACATAGAAATATCTTCAGATGCGGATAATATTGATTATCATGCAGACGAGACACTTTCTGTTATAGAACCGGAAACTGTTTTTATGATGTACAGAAAACGTGAATTCTCAGTAAATCAAGAAAAACATATCTATAGATCGCTTTCAGGCATATGCCTTTTATACAGTTCTCTAATCATAATTGACCAATACAATAATTTTGCCATGAAAATGACTCTCGATGGCGAATGCGTTGAAAAGTGTTCACTTAAAGAACCCTACCAAGTCTGCAGTTCTGGAAATACTGGGATCGCTATTACATGTTGGGACAAAAATATGATATGTATTTTAGATACAGAACCAATTCTTTCAATAAAACAAGTAGTAAAAACGGAAAAACATTATCTATGCATCTCCGATGCTGGAAGAGATCGTTTTCTTGTGACATCACCTGATTCATCAATTGACGTCATTTCCACTTCCGGGGAAATTTTGTTTTCAATCGACTCGCGAAAGCAAAGTAATATTTTTTCTTCATTGTTTAGAAAAAGTGCATCTGTACCAGGCAAAGCAATATTAAAAGATGAAACGGTGATAATGTGTGATTCAATACAAAAGACTCTTGTATGCATGGATTTTGCTGGACGTATTTTGTGGCAGAAGAAAATACCTGGAATATCAAATTTTGCTTGTGGTTCGGAAGAAATATATTGTACACTTTCATGTTCTAATAGAGTCTTAAGGCTAACATTTGATGGAAACATTACAGACAATACGTTTCTGAACATAAGGCATCCGTGGGCTATAGACACTCAGGGTCAAACTATTGTAATAACAGAAGATTCACCGTCCGCGAAATATCACATTATCAAACTGGAATGAGTTTAAACTAATTATTAGGGGTAACTATGCTATTATGTACAAATGTTTACATAATTCGAATAAAAAAAAGACTTTGCGAGATTAACCGACAAAATATAACTATTTTTACATGATTAAAGTGCATTTTACTTTCAAAAATTCATATAGTTCCTCTAACTATTCTGACTGTCGTTGGTCTCGTGGTAGAGTGTTCGCATCGAGTGCAGAAGGTCGCGGCATTAAGATATAAGAGCAAAGACTGCTTGACTCGGAGTCAGAATATTGTGTCCGGCTAGGGTGACATATCTTTCTACGGACTGTTGCCGTGTGAACTAGCACGTTAAAAATCCAACTCAGGGTGTCTGTCTAGTACAAAGCAGAGTTCATATTTATTTTACACAACATTTCCATGCCCTGATAATGCATTTAATTTGTCGTTGGACATTAAATAGCCATCCTTCATCTTGAATTTTCTATTCTTTAACAGAGATTGCCGTAAAATATTGTTCATTTGAATTTTCAACAATAAATGATCGGACAATGGGTAAAAATAAAGATAAGTTTTTGAAAACGCATTATAGTAGAAATTTAGGCGACTGTGTATCATCTAACTGACAAAGGATTACCAAATGTCGGTTAAGCACCACATGGTCAGAGTTTAAATCTTCCTCT